TCTATCGTGAATGGCGGGCTCGTGAGTAATCTGTAGAAACACAAAATCGTCGTGTCCCGCGAGTTGTATGCATGTGTTTCGTGAGGTGTTCCGCGACAGAAAGCTTAACAACAGATTAAATAACGCGTCATTGTTTCCGTTATCGTTTAGAGCTACCATGTTTCCACAACTGTTGCTGGGTAAACAGCCATGATCGCCGTGGAATTTACTGTAAAACCAAACTTCTATTCTCGCTATGATTCGTAGCCAAGAAACCATTAATGGAACCAGGGCTCCGGGTAGATTACGCGACGTAGATTTTCACGTTGCTGGAAACAAGCAATATCAATCGAGCAGCGTCGAATTCGAGCCGATCGGGCTCATCGGAGCCGTCCGTTATCCCGTGTCCTCTATCTTTGTACTCCAAACAGGACGGACGATAGAGGATCGACGATAAGGACGCGGGTCGATTGGACGATTATGGGTTTTCCAAAGGCAGAGTTGAACACAATTTTGTTCAAATAATACATAGTGAAAAGCTGCAATATCTAAGGGCGTCATCCTGAGCTTTCGACAGTTAGTGAGATTAAATAATTGTTTGGCAAATGTTGATTCATTCAAGAAGTACTATATTACTATAAAAATTGGTATTTCCACCTTTAACCTTTTGGGTACATTTGACGAGTGAGACTCGTCATCTGTTTACTTGGGCAAAGTTACGGTGGACGAGTCTGACTCGTCATCTGAATTTAAGAAGCAGGCGTTGTTCTTGTTCTATATGAATATTTCTATTTTGTTTCATTTATATATTTATTTATATTTTGTAACTAAAATGCTGTTTTAAAAATATATTTATATCACCAATATAAGTATATTCCGAATAAAATATATTACTTTTACATATTAATCCATATAGCGACAAATTAAATCCGTCCCATGGGCATAAAAATCTTCAAATAATTCAGTACTCAAAGGGTTAAACGATTAAAAGTGATAGAGTACTTTTTTAAAATCTTTCATTCGTTATTTGAAACTCTTTGTCTAGATAATGAATTCGCCCATCTCTGTTCCAGTCATTAAACAGGACGGATTTTAGAGGATCTCGGATAAAGGACGCCCGTTGATTGGTCGATTTTAAACTGGTCCGAATCGTCAAACGGGATGGAAGGTATAAAGATCACCAATCAAAACCAACGTCCATTGACAGGATTTTGAGCTAACCCGAGTCTGTCACCAACAGAAGATAAAAACACGTCGATCGGTCGATTTTCAGCCGGTCCGAGTCATCGAACAACACGAAAGATAAAGGATCGGTGATAAAGAGTCACCGATCAATGTTTCCCATAGAAATGAAATCTTTTTTTTTCCCCAAAGATAAACCGCCGCAGCTGCGCACGGGAACTAGAACCATTATGCTTGCTCGTTTACATTCCTGCGTTGTGTGTCATTTCGTCGCAATTATGCATTATACACCGCGATTGCGGCGGGGGAGTGAGTTTTTCCTCGAACGGAACGAACGTTCATCGATCATAGTGCAGGATTTACATATAAAGAGTGAAATGGCAATTAATCCTCGAGGTAAACCGTTACAATGTTTCCCTTTTTCTGGAACACGTGCATATTGCGGTTTCATTGTGATGTTCAACTTCGATCGGTACGATCGAAGGAATTTAAACATTACATCTTAATTCTGTTCGTCCCATTGACCAACGGTCTTGGTCGCTTTTTGTCCATTAACTGTTAATAAATTCGACTAATTCGTGTTTTATGTTGTTCTTGACGGTCTATAATTACTAGACTTCCGACATTTACAGAAATGGACGTTTTTTTATGGGCAAATTCAGAGAAACCGAAGACAGATCAAATTTTATTTCATGTATCGATAGAGTCAGTAGAATACAAATGAGAAACAGTTGTATGGAATTTTACGAAACTTGGTATATTATTTATGACTGAATATTTTTTTAATCATTAATGTATAGATATTCTTAGTTTAATAATTACTAATTTACGGTGCGAGGATTATAATCTGTTTCAATATCCGTTTAACCTTGATACTTAAGTGTCGTTAACATAAGATTTCGTATAATTATAGTATATGATACCTTCTCACGGCGTTATCGATATTTCTCAAGCTTGAAAGTTTAGACAAACACATTAATAAATTTCTGCAATGAGAATCTGAAGTATACAATCACGTGACGTGTTATAACTCAAATGTAATACCTGTATGAATTTTCATTCAAGATACGAGTTGGCACTGTTGATTAAACCTTGCAACGACTAAATTACGACGGATGCAAAAGAGTCTTCTAATAAAAAATCAATTTAAAAAAAACACTGATTCCTAAAAACGACACAGTACTTTAACTATTCTAAATCTTTTTCGACCCAATAATAATGTCATTATTTATTATTAATTTCAGATTCATTTCTATTTCACTTGAAGCGTTAAATTTTCCTCTTTTATATCACCTACAACGCAACAGACCGTAAAACATATTTAGAATCGTGCATAAATTTTTTAGTAGAACCCGTAACTCTGTTTCCTATCGCAAAAACCAACACACTTTAAATTGAGAGCGGCTTCTACAATATTACTATTATTTCTAGTATTCTTAACTATTAATAATAGTATTGTAAATTATTAACAATATTATAAAACAAAATTTGTATTTTATTACGAACTAATTCACTCGCAAGAAGAAAGTACCACAAACAATATCGACAACTGGATTTTATGCATCTACGCCATATTGGAAATGGAAAACTGACATAAGGAAACTTGGGTTTTATTATGTGTAATAACATTATAACGGGAATTATTATATGTAACTGTGATGAAAGCAAAACAGTTATCAAATGGCATTAGACGTTTTCAAAATGATAAAATGTTCTTGTGAATCATTTACATGTTATGTAATATATACAAAACTACGATAAAATATTTATTTGGTAATTTTTCAATACTTCGGGAATGAAAGGGTTAATATCCCCTAGACCAGGCATGCCGAACCTATGGCACGCGTGTCAGAGATGGCACATACGAAAATGTTCCTAGCACGTGAACCATTTACCAGTAATATCATTTTATACGCTTATAAATTATTCAGATTTTTTTAATTATTATAATATGTACAAGTGAATATTATTTTCCGTAATAAATTTTATAAAAGATGGTTTAAGAAACAGAATGCCTGATGGATCGAGTGCGGCGTGTATCTTATTAAAGGTGATGAAATATGAACCTAACATGAAGCATTTGACACCCAATGTACATATAACAGTAAAAAGCTCAAATAAATCATTGATATTGATTTCTATACGACAACATTTAGTGGTAAATTATGAGCTCATCTTTATGAAATTCTATATTAATTTTGAAAAGTATCCCAATAACATTCTGCAATAATTAATTTTTTATTAAATTTTTCCCCTACTTGAAAATTGCCCGACACGTCAGCAACTCAATAAACAACAAACAAACAACAATTCGCTACCACTATTCCTTTCAGACTCTCAGTAATTTTATAATACAGTAAATCCTCGATGAGTGATCGAAGGCTCCTCGACACTGACACGAATAGGATCCCAGGTGTAACACTGACTTTTTAATGAGGTTTAGCACACTGAGGATCCTTCGAACACTCATCGATGATACTGTACACTGCATATTCGATTAATGTCCAGATATTTATGAGCAAGAGTGTATATACCAACTGGTACCAGGCTATAAGTCTGCAAAACATCGAATTTGTTTCCGTTACAATTCCCATGCGCGAACGTGACGGATCGCGGTTTCTTCCGGAGTACGAAATCGTGACTCCGGATTTTCATGAAATCGCGTGTGTGTGCACAGTTTCGCAAACAATCACCCGCGACACGCCGATTTCTTATCAAATATGTCTGGCCGATTCTCGAATATTCCCGTGGTAACTCGGCGACGTCGTCGTGTTAAATACAGTAAATCCTCGATGAGTGTTCGAAGGCTCCTCGGCACTGACAAAGAAAGACCTTCAGGTGTACCGTTGACCTTTTAATGAGGTTGAGCACAGTGATAGAGTTTGAAATTCTGAAGCTAATGATATTTATTTTAGCCGCATATGGCCTTTAGTTTATGAAATATTTAATCTTCAGTACAGAGGATCCTTGGAACACTCATCAAAGATTTACTGTACACGGACCCGAATCGAGAGCGTCCCGTGACCACTAGACGATCGTAAAAATTCAATGAAAACCCGCCCGGTGTCCGCGAGTGGGACACACCGAGGTTGCGATTCGGTTCGAAATACCGTTAACCCATCGTCGAATTCGGTGATCCTCGAGATCCCGTGCGAACCTGATCGGATTCACATTGTGTTACACAGCGACCATAACTACATATCGTTCATTTGCTCTAACAATGACACAACCCAATATTTGCACTTTTTGAGTTATTAGTATTTACAAAGACGGTTGTTATCTGTACTTTTTATCAGTTGAATCCTGTGAATAAGAGCTTCCAAAACTCACCACGTCAGGACCAGTCATTTTAATATGAATAGCGATCAAAACATTCAAATTAGTTTTTCCTAAAATCATGACTTTTGAACGATATATCCCGACAGATCTTTTCTAATTGTCCCAGTGGTGTTAGTTGATAAATTTGGATTTACAAACGACCCCACACGACTCCTGTCGCTGTGGATTTCGCGTCACGCTCGTTCCTCAACCTATCCGCCGTCTGGTGTGTACATTCCGTGTATGTTGGTATATGTATCCCCGATTTCTCGCGGCGACGTTTTCCACGTTGACTTCGACCGAATACCGATACACGACGGCACGAAATGAATGAGGCCGACAGTGATAAATATTAAGTAACTGTGCATACACACCGGCTGTGTTAAACGTGGACAACCGATACGTTCGGTGAAACGATAAAAGAAAAAAAAAACCGAACACATTTACAGAGGCTGTTTCTAAACACATTCGAACGACACGAGGAAATAATAATAGGTACGGATAATATTAAAAACACTTACGTTTTAACGGTACTGGGATCCTTTCAGCCAGAGGACGATCTTGACCCTCTTCTTGTCTCCGGTGTCCTCTAATTTCCTTCGACACCGTTGTAATCTCTTCTCCCGTGTGTATATACGAACAGGTTTGCACGCGATATCGATCCTCTCGACAACAAAAAAACGCTTCGACCGATTTCTTTTTTATACCCGACGAACAAGCACTTTCTTCTTTCTCCGTGTAATCTTCTTTTTCTTCTTCTTCTTCGTAGTCTCGCTTTTTTTCTTTTTTCTTCGTTAAATCGGATAAACGTCGAATGGACCCGAGCCCGACGGACCGACACAACCAGGGGGACCACGAACGGACCGCGACCAACTGGCACACACACCCGACGTCGACGTGCAGGTGGGCGATTTCTTGTGTCCCCGGGTGGTAAGGGAAAAACAAATATATGTATACGAGAGGCAAAAAGAGAGAGAGAAAAAAAGGAGAGAGACAGAAGCGGAGGAGAAGAAAAAACGTGTCGAGTTCAACTACATCCGAACAGTTCGGGGGTTCGGAGACAACTGAGCCTCTTCTACCGTGTACGGACTTTGGAATCGGTGAGCGGTTCGGTTCGGTTCGGTTCGCCGACTCACAACTTCTCTCTCGGAGTTGTTCACGAGCCCCGGTCGTCGTCGTCGTCGTGATCGTTGTTTTCTCTGTCTCTCGATACTCAAACGGTTACACACCAAGTGCACGGGTAATACACGCGCGCGCGTTCTACCTTCGCGACGAGCACGCTGGTTTGCTTCTGTTCCTCCTGTTTCGCCTTCTGCTCCTTTTTGTTCCTCCTGCCCCCATGACTTTTCTGTATTACTAGCCGCGCCTCGCCTCGTCTCGCCACGCCACGCTGTAGAAACGAATATTTGCACACGCACGTGTCTCGCGACTTTGTTCAATGAAAATGGTACAATGAAAATCGTGCGTTCGCATCACTCACCCCTCTTAGCCGTTAACACCCCCTCAGCCGCGGTTCGCCCCTGGATGAATGGCCATACAAGCGCGCACGCGAATGGCAGGTTGCGACTATATAAAGTCGATGGGCAAGATATTGTGTCCTCGTAAAATCATTAAGTTGTAAAACTACCCCCATTGCGGTAGCCGAAACTGTCATTTGAAACGGTTAAGCCTGTTCAGGACCGTGCAATGTCAATTCGGAATAGATTACCTGCAGTTTATTTTTTACCAATAATAGTAATTACTATTGAGTAAGAGACTGCAGAGGCTGAATACCGTGTATACTTTTGATGAAATATTATATATAAGCAGAAGTTTTAAATATCAATTTGTAAGTGACGTTTACACAGGCACTTCTACCGAAACGTAAAATACCGGTATTTTTGGTTGTACGATCGCCTTACATAACCCTATATAAGCCCTACTTTTATAGAAACCGAAAAAATACCGGTATTTATTTCGGTTTTCGGTAATATATCGGTTTTGGTATATCTTTGATGGGATAATACTGGTATCAAAATCATCGTCCCTGCGTTTACAACCTGAAATGCAGGCCGCTTCTAGGTATTTATTTTAGGGCCCTTTACGGCGACACTGGCAATCCCGTGCACGCAGAACGCGTACAGCCCTTGGTGCGGTTATATGAATAGGCGACCCCAATAAACGCTTAATTTTGCGAGGACACAATATCGTGACCATCGACTTTATATACCTGCCACTCACGGGGTCCGTCCGGTATTTACCTGACGTGCTACGGAAAAGGGATATTCGGGGGTTGTTCATCCGTGAGATACGGTCTCGGAGGAAAATGATTTACAACCCTCCCGGAACTGTTCTCGATCGACGGAATGGATATATGTATACGACCGCGGCGAAAGTTGTTTACGCACACACACACACACACACACACGGGACCAGGAAAGTGTCCGAGCAACGGTTGTATATATCAATACGTATACTCGTAATTGAAACGGACTCGAACTGCGTACCGACTTTAAGGAATTACATACCTTTAAGAGGGAAAAGAAAAAAATTTGTTTGTATATGCACAAAATGTTTGTAAAAATCAACTAAGACAATGCCATTTTTTTAGGCGATGGAAACAATAAATTAATGTATGAAAGAATCTATTTAATAATACGTTGCGATGAAAGTAATTTTCAATAACCAGTTGCTTCATGCTCTGAAAAATTAACGAGAATGAGGGTTAAGTGATTGTGCCTGATGAGCGTAATCACGAAGATACAGAAATTATAGGCGAGGATACAGAAGATTTTGCATATTCAAGTACAGGCTCTGTAACTTTAATGCGTACTAATAATTATACATTATCGTATCGATAAGAAGAAAAATAGGAATTATGCTTTACAGATGATTGACGTAGTCATTTCCTACTATTATTTATCAATGGCAGCTCAAGAGCGAAAAGAGCAAAAAGGAAGAAAAACTGAATAATTTTGAAAAAATCTTATTTCAATGCTTAACACGAATGTAATACGTCGTAACATACTACATATGTATGTATTTGTAAATAAACAAATTTTTCAATCCAGAAAAAAAAGGAAATTTTTAATTTTATCCTTTCTTTTCTATTATGTACTCGTTATTACCTTTGATATCGAAGTTTAACAAATTTAGAATGTAGATAAAAGCAGATTACAATAATAGACAAAAAAACCTTTTTGGAGATAACAGATAACAAAAGAAACACATGTTGGTCAAAAAGACCCGGGCGGTCATTTTAGGTAGATAAAGATTCCAGATACCTTTTTGACCGTTTTCTTGCTCGCTTCTATTATCCTGGCTCGTCACTTTTACCCTTGTTTCTTATTTATTATCCTCTATTCTTTCATTACTACCTTCGAACTGAAGGAAGGTCAGTATTATCCAACTGTAGCTCGCCTGTTGACTACAATTAAACTGGATTATTATCTTCTGGTGACCTTTTCCTCGCTTATTATAGTACCATATAAAATTTCACCTAACAAACTGAATAATTAAACGAATACTCTAAAAATTCTCGTTAATTTTCCATACATTTTCTAACTGCTAGCCCAACATTAAGTTACAGATCATCGTCTATTGATTATAACGAAATTAAACATCGATGTAATGCTGTCAGTAGTTCGACTCGCTTATTATCGTACATAACGTATAAATATTTAAACAAGCATTCTATTAAAGTCTACTCCGTTTCCCATTAAGAGACACGCAGTCGCTGACATAAATAATAATCACCACGGATCGCGTTAAAATTCACTACTGTTCGTATAATTACGGAACGGTACTCCGGTATGATAACCATATTGAACCGCACACGGATAAATCAATAACGATGCATACGATGCACGCGCGCGTTAATATGCTTCCTTTGTTGTCGGTAAATCAGAGTACGTGATCGGCGGGACCGCGAGCCGTGTTGGTTTTACAGACTGTCTCGGGTGTCCGCTAAGGAGCACTGAATTTTGTCCATCCTCGGGCATTATCGGCAGAGAATTTTATGGCTTCTGACCTGGAAAATCCTGATACGGGGCAACTTTCTCGACCTGAGAACGACCTTGCCTTTCCTCCCGCACGCTATGAAAATTTCCTTCTTGTTTCGTCAGAAAACGCAACGTGCCACCCTAATGACTCCGTTCCTCGATTTCCGTACGTAAATACATAAATAAAGTTAGGGATCAACAGATCCAAGTAAATACAATATAAACTATCGATGCCGAGTATTTTTAGTATTGAAACATTTGGTTACGATATATACTCGATAACAAAAAAAATTCTTATATCAAATAGAGCAAGTAATCGATATGAAAGCCAATGAATGTGAAGGTGGTTGTCGTCCACTTATATTACTTTGTTAATAAAATATGTCTTCGTTAAAATCAGAGATGGGCAAATTCATTATTTAGATAAAGAGTTTCGAATAACGAATGAAAGATAAAAAAATACTTGCGTCATTTTCAATCGTTTAAACGTGATAATTACAATTTTTATAATAAAGTAATACTTCTCCCTGAATGAGTCGACATTTGTCAAACAATTATTTAATCTCGTTAACTGTTTAAAGCTTAGAAGGATGTCCTTAGATACTGAAGCTTTTCACTATGTTTGTAATAATATGAAAAAATGTTATATACAAAATTTACACGATATAGAGGAGGGCATATTGTGACACAAACATTTTCTGCGTGGGTGAAGGCATAGAGGAGATTTCAAGGTCATCTCTATTTTTTTTAATGGAATGCTATGTTTTTTTATCGCGATATCATAGCCGGTGTTGAGACAACTTCAGCGAGCTATCATTGAAGGTCATGCAAGGTCAAATGTGGTAGTAAAATAACCTTTCTTACGTTACAGGAGATGCTCGAAGTGGTGACTGCGTCAATACAAAGTTGCAATCTTCGTATCGCTGAATCACGTGCACGTTATTTATAAAAAGAAACTTTGTATTAATTTTCCTTCGATACAAGTAGATATCGATACTTTTAATGCGATACTACGTAGATAACGATACCTTTTTTTCGATACAAGTTATGAGTAATAATATCGATACCTTGACGGTTTATCCCTACACACAGTTTGTGGAAAATCGCGATCGCAGATCGTTCAACCGCACCTTATGTCCGTCCAACGAGACAAGTCGAAAAAAAGAACCTAAACATGTGCGTGTAAGGGCACCTATTGGCTGGCAACTGTCTCTGTTACTTTCTCATCTAAATGGTCATAACCTCCCTTTGTTTATATTTATTGACTCGACTCGTTGGATCAGGTATATATACATATAGTTCTCTCGTTTCATTGTTTCTCCTAACTCTGCGAGTAACGCAATAAGGATCTCTGGTCTATACAGATGCGCATAGTAAAATGTAAGGCCCCGTATGTAAAGTTGATCCTTGAAGTATCCCTGAGGGACTATTCGATGCCATCGGTAGTTTTCTATTGCACAATCAACACGACAGAAACTCATCGACGCGACAGCTGGCTCTAGAAATGCTCCGTCCGATGAACACCTTGAAGAAGATGACCACACCTAGGTCGAATGTGTTTTTTAAGGGTCTACACACTGTTTGTCGAATACCAGCGCGGACCGAATCGATCGGTGTCGACAGCCATTCGATGTTTATCGAATACGCTCGAATACACGTATCGATACGGGGGCGGAGACCGTCGGTCGCGATGTTGCAAAATTGGTTTATTATTCGATACATCGATATTTTGTCGTACGGAATAGAAATTTCTGTCTGAAATTTAATCAAGTAGGCCATGGCTTTCTGGGCCGATCCGTAGAGATTATGACATCAATACTTTTTACGTAACACCTGCGAACGGGCAAATGCCCGAGTTCGGTTTATATTCAGGATGCACCACCGAATCGATCGGTTGGGCAGATTATTCACGAACCACCGATCATTTAGTATACACGTTCGAGGTGTCCTGTTCGAAGAATAGAGAGTGTAATCGAGGGAAGTATATACTTTGAACACGATCTTTCTTTTTCACGCTATTCGTGAATATTATGCAAAACTTTAATTAACCCACTCACTATCTTTGTTCACTATACAGCACAACTTTATCAAGGAATTACTAATATCAGAAATACATTTTACTATGTTTCTAAATTAGTAACCCTTTGATACATTTAATGTGAACATATCGTAACACGTGTGTCTGATATTAGTAATTCATTGAGAAAGTTATCCTGTATAATGAGCAAAGGCAGCGAGCGGGTTAACAGATCATCATAAATGATAAAGCGCCCCAGACATTGTTATCGGTTTGATAGGATTAAAAGTTTTTTATATAATTACTGCATATACATGGAGTAACGATAATAAATAAATATACACGTCTACACCCTATACGTTTGTAGAGCTACTATGTGAAATTGATCGATGAATAGCAAAATTCGTTATTTGTATAAAGATAGACACCGATCTCGTCATTTAGTATTCTTTATGTTACGCCTCTACAGCAAGACTGTACATCGATCGCAATTTCGTTACTTCCGGTCGTTCAGTAATCATTATGTACGAACACGTTGTACACATCGAGTAACCGATATTCATGTAAAATGCTTTTTTCTTAAAATTTTCACGATCGCGGCGGATTATCGTTGGTATATCCAACACACTTGACTCATATAAGCTGAAACAACAACAAACAAAAAACCGGGTACGTGAAAGTTTATTTAAAATTCATTATCAGTACCATTTATTAACTGTACGACAGATTGTCTCTGATATCGCGTAACATCTCAAAATATTAGTTTTTATGTTTATATTCGTTTTGTAATGTTTATTGTTTATCTATTATTTGTGAAAATATAAATAAAGTGATATAAGTAAAAATTAATATCAATATTTTTATAGTTTTCCTTCATTATAAAAGAGATGAAAAATTATTTAACATTTATTTTGTTAAACTTCCGTCTTACAAAACTTCACTTTTCTTTTGATTCGGGTATCCAGTTAAAACCTGAGAAAATTGTTTCGAGAGATGTAACCGCAGAAAACAGACGAGCAATCATAAAGATGTAATTACGAAATCCCTCATTTTAAGTGTCTTGTGCAAGCGAGCGAAGAAAACAATAACCCAGTTTATTATCTATTTTTCTAAATACTTCACCGACAAATTAACGATTATGACGAATTAATTTTGAATTTCATTGTTTTGTACCTAAGTCAGCAACATACACATAATGGAGTGAAAATTTCGCTATTTATTATCATTGCTCTTTTATTCTTTATAAGTTACTCTTACAATTATTTTATAAGTTACTAAAATGTAACATTGTAAAATAAATATGTTTCATATTTTACTTACATTCATCAGTTATTCATTCCCTAAATTGTGTATACTTTTATAAAATTGTGTATACTATTATAAATTATTAATTACTACAAACAGATCTACGAAAATCTAAACCTATAGTTGTCACTACCAATGTTTTGATCAAACAAATACAATGTTTTTATCAATTATTTCATTATTGTTTCTAATATGGCACTGGCATAGCAATATAATTATTAAATATTTTCATAATAGTAGTGTTACAAATAATTTGAACGAGACACGTGCTATCAGTTTGCTTTATTTTCCAACTCTATCTGCTTTGTCTCTTTGACCCGTATTTGTGTTCCGTTCGCACTCCTTCCACTTCCCTTTCATACATCATTCGTCCAATCACTCACACCTTTTACACCACTTACCTATTACTCGATCTCATTCGTTCTTATTTATTCGGCGCGCATTCCTTCCGCATTCAAACATTCTTTTTCGCTACAGTAGTAACACTAAATTCGAGACAAATGATTCTTACATTAAAACAGGTCACTCTTCATCATAGCAAGCAGTGGAGTGTACACCAATTTTGGAGCATCTACAGCCCACAGAAAGTCTACGTGGTTGAACTGCTCAAATGGCACCTTGTATATCACAGGCTTATATGGTAACTCCATCTTTAAGTGGTTAACATCCTGAAAAAGGAATTCACTGTCAGTACATACAAAACACATATATTTTCCAGAAAGCGAAACAAAAGTTAAATCTACACTTGACTACACTATTTTCCGATAAGATGGAAATTCATTTCTTTATACCGATTCCATGTATTCGTATAATAAAATTTACTAAACCTATAAATAAGAGTATCAACGGCTAGATCTATTTTTAGACTGAAAACAGTACATTTCCCGACTTACAATTAGTGTCTTTCAATAGACCCCACTTTATTATACTACATCAGACCTTTTATTACGTCCCTTACTTTATTCCGTATATATGTACGTACCGCGGAGTTAGACAGCCAATCGTTCTCGCCGGAAAACATTACGATCGGAATGTTAATCCTCGACAAATTATACGCCGGAGGAAAGAAGCTATTGTAATAGAAGAGATTTCCTATCTTCCCATAGTCATACTGTCTAAAGTAGCCTGATCTAATTTCTTGAGCGTAATGGACCATAGTCTTGGCGGAGGTTCCGGCCGGGGTATGGTTCAGAATCGTAGGCAGCAACGTCTGTAATTGGAGTCCAAGTATCAGAACACCATATATTAACCCTCTCGCTGTTTTACCCGTATGTCATATGGACAAAGCGAAAGTGGACCTCGCTGCTTTGCCCGTATGTCATATGGACTATGCGTATATAACGTACAAGTAAATCCGAAATATATACTTTTCCTTATTCTTATGAGAAATCTGACTAAATTAATTGATAAAAGAATTGGAACATTATTGGACCATATTTCGTAATTTTATTGAACAACGAAAGGGTTAACGAACTTTCTGGTATACTTACGTAATTAAATTGGGCCGCGTCGAATCCAGTAAACACGAACATCGCGTTCGCGCAAATCTTCCCTTGCCAGGAAAAGATGTTACACAGAGATTTCGCGAGAAATTTAATCACGAAATTCTGCGGCAAGAATTCCCCTTCTCCGAACAGCGTGAAGATTTTCTACGTTTTAAAAAAGGGAAAAAGGTACGTTATTGAAACTGGTAATCTCTTCAAAGAATGATTTGGTGCTCTCACACCGAGATTTTACCGGATATTGCACCTTATAGTCCGTCGCTACTGGAGCGAAATAACGCAAAGGACTTTCCACGTGTTTCATGTAGACCACCGGTGCGAAATTGTACACCGATTGCAGAAGCTTTGTTTCTTCTGGCCGTTCGCTAGCCATCACATAGAAACACGTTGTTCCCATCGAGAATCCTATGTACGCATTTACTGGACTCTTTTTGAGGTCAACAATGTAGGTGATCATTGCTGGTAGGTCATAGATGCCCGATTCGTGCCAGCTGAAAAAGTAATTATACAATACAATAAAAATTTGATTATTATGAAAGAAGGGAGCACGTTCGAACAACCAAATTATTTGGATAATCGAAAAATGTTTCGATGCAACGACGAGTATTCGTTCTGGCATATTAAATGTGAATGTAATATAAAAATGTGAATGTTAGACTAACATTTTTCACACTATTATCTAATACTTCTAATTACATAATATGTTCATGGTGAGTTTTTTTTTTAAATACCTAAAGTCCCAAAATTTGGATTCCGAAGGGGTCAAGATAATGTGCGCCCTGGAATAAGTATTCCCACGGAAATTTCCCAGCCAAACATCATAACCCTGGTCAGCTAGCAGATAAGCTACGAAAGAAATTAATAAGATGAATCACAACATTATTCAGTTAAGAATATAAGTTCAGAAATAAAATTACAAAGTTTTGGAATATGGAGCACTTAACAGAATAAATAAAGGAGTTGTAATACGTATTGTACACTGGCAAGATTCCAGGTGCTCTAGGATTCAATAGTTTCATCTAAGAATGGAAATTGTAGGATAAGATATTGATGATGTTTATTATAAATGATTAAGATTTGTATTTGCATGTAGAATATCCATGTTGTGAATTGTCTTATGTTTTTGGGACAGCCTGTATAAACGATCATGCATAGTTTATGAGCATTTTCGATACTCTTCTTTCAAGATGGTGGAAAGCGCGATAGTCGTTGACGCACAACTTTTTCGATTAGGAGAGTTGTACAGCTTAATTACCAGCTGTATCCGCTTAATTTGACTCGCTATAAGTATATTTCTTTTCTTCCCTGAATTGAGAACGAAGATGAAACAAATGACAATTCAACGTAAAGACCGTTTAAAAGGTTTGAATCGCCGCTTTCAGAGTCTGTTATGATCGTTGTACACAATTTATCTTTTCAGATAAAAATTACTTTGAATAATTAATTGGCGATTGGGGAACAGTTGGAACAAGCCAATTATTTTTATATGAAATATTCTTACGAATGGAGGTTTGTTTAAAAACTGAAGAGTGCTAGGTACTCATGGTTAGTAGCGTATGTACATACCGAGAGCTTTTCCTTTTCCAAGAATGACCCAATCTGCTGAACTACCAAGTACACCATGCTGCAAATAGACCGCAGGTGATCCAGACGCTCCCGGAATTCGATGTACTGTTAACAGATAACCATCTTCTGTTTCCACGACATGGGCTTCCGCTTCATACCCTTCTTTCCTTATCATTTGCAACTACAAGAAAGAAGCCATCTTTAACATTCATAGATTGCACTGATTATGCGAGACAATTTTACAAAATATGTTGATATTCGATGTTTATGAATCGATTGTCAATCAATATGTCATTTACGGATTAATAATTCAATGGCTAACCAGAACTATGTAAATCATTCATTAAAAAATATAATGTAACCAATTTATACAAATGCACTGCAAAATTAAAGGAACATTTAATTTTCGCCGAAAAGTTGCTGACATTTAAACTGTTATAACTGGGTAACAAAAAAACATGCTTTTTCGTTTTAACAATTATTCAAATTCAACCGATTGTACAGGCATTAAAACCTTTCATGAGGATTACGATCACTTCAAATTTGAAGATTGGAGTCTTACATGCCCTTTACAGCGGCCCCTATAAAGTTAATGTACGATTTATTCTCGCCGTTTTATTGAACTTTGAATGAAAAGCGTGCCGCTGGCATTACTTACACTTGCACACTTTTCATTCAAAGTTCAATAAAACGGCGAAAAATAATCGTACAACAACTTCATAGGGGCCGTTGTAAGGAGGGGGCTACAATCTTCAAATTGGTAGTGGTTTTAGTTCTCAAAAAAATTTTGTAATGCTGATGTATATTACAACATTTCTGTAGATTATTAATATTACAGATTAAATACATTAAGCGTAAAGAAGATTATGAATTTATTTACTCGAAATGCATATAACACAGATAATCTCATCAAAGTTCTTATGAAATGATGTAAAAGTATCCACTACTACGACGTACATATTATCATCTGACGTCACTCATGTGATAATATGCTATCTGTTTCCTCATTGGAAATCCGAATGCTTCTTAAGAACAAATATCTAACTAAAGGGTGGAAAATCTAACATAACAAGGTCACTGATATGAAAAACTAAGCTAATCAGGTGTAGAAATAAATCTGTTCCTGAAATTGGTACCGAAACGTGAAATAAGTATTTTGAATACCTTTCTAAACTAATTTCAACGCCCTCCACTTTCTTCAAAGGTAACGAATACTTCCTACACCAAAAATGGCGGTAAATTTAAGGGATGGTGGATATTCATACAAATAAAAATATATGATTCTTTACTTTGCGAAATATAATTTCACTTACCGTGTCAAGATTGTCATTTGCATCAGGATCTAATGACACTTCATTAGTTTCAACGAGCGATTTCACGTCGAGTCCCGAAATTACAGTACAAAAAATGCACAGCGGTAGCAGTGTAGCAATGAGTCCCTTCATTCTGGCAATCTTTCACCAAAACAAAGTGAAGAAGGTGATAATACAAAATATGACAAAAATCTTGTGAAACTTCATTATTAACATCTCGCTAGTACTTACTTTCAATATGGCAGCGGTGTGGACCAGTTCTTCTCAGAAGAGAAAGAATACTGTTTGTGAGGCGAAGTCGCGCTTAGCACTGGCGTTTTTTTTACCGTTTACACACTATTTATGCAGTAGATATTGATCATTTGCGTCAGTCATTATTTTCCACCCTGCTATCTGCACGGTATTGGAAGATAATAATAAGTTTCTTTTGTTACTGAAGAGACATACAAACATTACCCCCTAGACAATACGTCATGAACAGGAATGTCTGTTCATTTGACGTACGAATTTGTCATCTTTTTCATCAAACATGTATTTTATTCCTCTACTAAATATTTCTCGATATTTTACTGAGATTTGTGGTATTGAATAACTTGGTTTTTTTCCCAAAAAACCAAGTTATTCAATACCACAAATCTCAGTAAAATAACGTAAATAACTTGGTTTTTTTCCCAAAAAACCAAGTTATTTACGTTACGTGTAAATTACATGTAAATTACATAATTAACGTAATTTTAACATAACCGAAGCCATAAAAGAAATCTATTTTATCATAACCTAAATAAAGTATTGTTATATACAAAATAAATTTTAAAAAAACCATTTCACGTGAAATTTTTTATGGTTTTGATTTGTTTTCTATTATTAAGCATTAAACTTACTATTACTGCATATTTTATGTTAATAACAAATAATAACTATAATAACAAACAATGGAAGTTAAAATTTTCAATTTACTAATTATATTATTGACAAGGAGTACAGAAATTCCATCTCATTTATGCAAAGAATTTTTATATTCTGTCTACAAAATATGTAAACTTATTAAAATTATAATTATTTCATTGTTTTTAAAAAATTTTAAACAAGGTGACTTTAATGTTCAAGAAATTAATAAATTGTTGGCCACGTTTTTTTGGATGCAACATATCATTTTTGTTATTGATGATAAAAAAGGGAATTTCAATTTGGATGATAAGAAATGGAGAGATTGTAAGAAAGGGAAATAGTAATAGGGAAAGGAAAGGTACACGCGTTAGCATATGTGGACGATATTGTGCTTGTAGCAAGAACAGAAAAAGAATTGAAAAGTATGATGAAAAAATTGGAGAGCTGGTTGAAAAAGAAGAAGTTGAAACTGAACACCGCAAAATCAAAGATCATGGTAGCAAGTGGGGAAAGGAAACTATAGAAGAGGTAAAAGAGTTCAAATATCTAGGGTATGTTATACAGAGAAATGGAGGAGTGGATAGACATATAGCAGAAACAGTCTTTAAGGCAAAGGTGTGGGGTATAGGAAAGATGAAATTTAAGAACGACTTTAAAACAAAATGATGATGTATAGATCACTAGTAGAAAGTATCTTGATGTACAGTGTGGAAGTATGGGGATGGAAGGAGCAAGAAAAGATGGAAAACATAAATGTTAAGTATGTGAAATGGACATTGGAATTGGACAGATAGACACAGACGTACATAGTGAGAGAGGAGACAAAGCTGGAGAAACTTACAAGAACAACTCTCTCAACAAGTATACTTGATGCTCGTTATAAAGAATTTGAACAATCTATTGCTAGTATTGAATCAAGGGATGCAATTCATTTATTAGATGAATGGAAAAATTCAACAGTAAACACTAAAAATGTTGTAGCGATGTTATGCTTAGATAATCAAAAATATGTTTTTCTTAAGCCATGGAACTTCAGTGTTCTCAGTGAAACTGCACAGGCCTTAAATGACGTGGTAAATGAATGTATTATTTGAAGAGAAAACTATAATTTACATATTTATGCAGTAATCACACATAACACTGCTAATATGATTAGTATGGGATAATTAGTAGATAGTATATTGCATGTGACTTGTAACAGCCATAGTACAGAAATCAAAAATCTCAATAACGCTTGAAAAATACCACCACCAAACTGCCATTTGTCATTTGCGTAGGTAAATTACAGTATCATTCGATCAACGTAATATACGTGTATATTACATGTATAATGTGTATGTGTACTATACGTTGCGTATTTTACATACCCATCACTGCCCTAGATTATATGTCATACACAAGGGAATTTGTTTTCGAATAATGTAAAAGGATTAGGTACTTACTTTCATTCGGTAATTATATGTGTCGGTGGTAAGGAAAGTGGTTAAGTGATGTATTTTTTGTTTCGAAAATTTTTTCATAATGAAATTTAAAACGATATATTTTTTGGTGATGATTTTTTTGGTCTTTCAACTTGCACAACTTTCATAATCACCGGCACATACAACATTTAAATTATATGTATTACTTATTCTTACTTAATATTTTTCGATATACTGCTGGAAAAATTTGTTTTAAACTCTATTCTACCTATTTTACCTACCTACTTGTCTTCACGAAAAACACTTTTAATATAAAAATATTAGAATTTTCGCGCCATGTATATATTTATATATTGATGAAGCAAAACAAGGAGCGCAGCATGAAATTCAATGACAATCGACTGTATGTAAAAAGTATTGTACCGTTTGAAACAATTACTTTATAAAGAAACAGTCCTAAATTTTAGTAAGTCCAAATATGAATGTTAACTTTTGCTATAGGAGTAATTTTTTAATAACGCAATCACTTTCACGTTTTAAGGGTTATGTTTTAAAAACCTATATGCTCTTGGTTGTCTTCTTTTGCGAATCAGTATTAATAAAGTGCGTGCAGAAACTAAATATTTCAGTTCCTGTACATTAAACGCTTACTTGAGCACTGTTAAAGAATTTCGTGGACGAAAAATGTCAACTACTTACATAAATATGTATCTATATAAATTTAAGCGAATGATAGTGTTACCACATGTTATTCAAGCTTTTTTATGTGACATTCAGTGACATTCAAAATCGACTGTACTTTTGAAATAAGGTTGATTAGCTTCTAAGACAGTGTTAAAAAAGACAGACTAATTTTTACATATCTTAAATACTACAGGAATAAACATTTAAAGTTAACGAACAATGTTTTTTTAGGACAAAGAAAAACCGGTGAACCTTACATCACTATAGACATATAATAAATAATAATAAAAATTATAGTCATTGAGCATTTTATACGAGGACAAAAGAATTTGCACAGTTGAATAATAATGTCTATAAGTAATTAAAACTTAAGTATTAATATTTGATTGCTAGTTCTTTCCTTTTAAAAACTCCTTTCAGTCTTCTCAAGCCTTCTCGGCATTGATCGGACTGTTTTTGGTAAATTCAGTCTCAATATTATTCCATTCTTGCAGGTAAATCTTTTTAAGCTCATCTTTATTTGTTATGTTATAACAAACATGCTCAATTGGATTCATATCCTGTCATATCCAGATTTCGTGGCGGTGAGTCGCGGTGTGTTTAACGTATGTAAACGTACGCAGTATTCAGTATTGTATACGTTTTACTAGATTTTCTTTTAATATATTTAAATATTGATACTTGTTCATGATGCCATCAATAAATACAAGTTCTCCAAGTCTTGATGCTTCCATAGATTTCCAAACTCATTAAATCAACACGACTTCTCTTCATGATTTCTGCAATTTCACTGTATGATTTAAACATTGTGCAAATTTAATATTATTTTTCTTTCTTCAGTTGTTGTTTCTTTTACTTACTGTTCTAGCCATTGTTATTCTATTTTACCTCTTCGATTGTTACCCTTTGAATATTGTTGGCGCTTATAGGATAGGCGCTGATAGGCGCTTACTTTCACTTTCTTCAGATTGTTCGATACAAACGGTTAGCGCCTATAGGCGCTCTAAAATCTAAATACTTAGGTGCTCATCAATAAATAAATGATATGAGTTTAACGTTGTAGGATTCAGTGTTTTGACGATTTGCATATTAATTCTACAAAATGCACATTGACGAAAATTTTCGTCATTCGTAGCGTATATCGCGGCAAACATTGGACCATACGTCACGCACGCGCGGTCGGTACGGTATGTCTCAAAGTCTGCCGTGTTTGCCGTAGCGAAAAGGTTAATTGACTGAAATTTCTAACTTTATTGAACTTTATTGATCGCATAGATCACAAATTACTACCGGGACATATTTCGCTTGTTTCAATAAGTGAAGAACAATATATTCGTAAACAGGTATGTGTAAATAAAAATTTTCTAATGTATGCCAATACTTCTGTCCTCGTATAAAATGCTCAATAAATATATTTTTATTATTGTTGTGTGTATCGCTTTATTTATATTATTGTTTCTTATTCTATAACAAACTAGAGTAGATAACATATGGATATGTTGAACCATTTTTTGTTTAAATCAATTTGTTTAGTAGTTACAAACATTTGTATCATAGTAATCATGCTGTGCCAATACTTTTGTCCAGCACTGTATATGTATATTATATACAATTATGCGTACTTGTTTATGTCATACTTTAAAGTAGCTTTTACTTGAATTTCAGCAGTGAAAAATGAATGAGACTACTTTACCTCCCTCACCAAATTGGTACTTAAGCAACATTCTTGCTTATTCCTTTAATGGTACCGTTGCATGGGGTGCTAGAAAAACAATTGTTGTTGTTAAATCTAATGAAAATGAAAAAGCATTACAATATTCTATCATTAAACATGCTCACAAAGATAGGGTAACTTGTCTTGCTTTTACTCCTCAGTTTGAGGAAGTAAATAGTAATTTATTGGCTTCTACAGGTGATGATAACATAGTAAAAGTATGGGATTCAGAAACCTTATCCATAGCTTACAGTTATTCTTTTGGAACAGTAAGTAGATACACACACATATATGTATATGCTTTAAAGAATTATATTATTATTTTATATATGATATATATTTTTGTTTAGAACCAACAAGCCATAGGAGTAGATTGGTCATATAAGGATCCTTTTGTATTATATTCAGCAAGTTCTGATGGTTGCATATTATCATGGAATGTTCATTTTAACACTATATCTTCCATTTTGCTAGGAAAAGTAACACCTACTTGTATTTCCTCTTGTCCTCATGATCAACATATTGTGGCTGTAGGTTCTAAGAGTGGTTTAGTCTATGTACTTAATTTTCAAGGGAAAGGAACGATAATGTATAAACTAAGAGGACATGATACAGAAGTTGTCAGTCTGTCTTGGTGCCCCTCAGAACAGAATGTTATAAATGGAAATCACAATAGAGATTTACTTTTAGCTTCTGGTGGAAAAGACAGGTGATTTCATAAATTTCATAATTACAAGTCATATCTAACAATAATATTAAAATTCTTCCAAGTTATTTACAATGTAAAATTATAAATATGTATGTACAGATTAATTTATATTTGGAGAGCTGGTGGAGATGGACGTTACGAAATGACAATTTCATTGCCTTCGGGACCTCTTGATTGTCATCAGCACAGAAGCAAATTGAACTCGACCGTAGGTAATTGGATTGCAATTCGTTGGATAGAGCCTAAACTATTGCTTACAAGTTCCTTTTGGGGTGAATTAATATCTTGGCATTTATCGACAATGACAAAGGGCAAACCTACTTACAAGTTAATACATGCACAACATAGTAGAGGTTTATTTTGTATCGCACATAGACCAAGTGTACAGGAAAATTTGATAGAAGATTGGAGGATAAAGAAAAGGTCCCTATTGAAAAGCTAGCTGTAAATTGTACACATAAAATGATTATACATAAGAATATGTTTATAATTTATTACAGATATAAAATTTGGACTCTGGCACAAGATCGTAGAGTTATTTGTTGCGAAATGAAAGAAAATAATATTGAAATAGTATGTGATATTTACACACAAAGTGGCTATGTTTATTGTATTGCAGCTTGCCCATTAGACACTTCACGCATTGCGTTTGGTGTTGGAGATGCAATGTTACGGTTGTGGAATTTGTCAGAAGCACATTGTAATACTTTTGATATAACTGTTTTATGGCAAAAAATTAAGGGAAAAATTCGTACGGTAAGAGAATATATTTTCGACATTATTTACGAAACAGTAAAAGCGAATAATATAACGTCTACACTTAGATCGCGTGGCATCCTGAAAAAGAAAACTTATTAGCATACGCAACTGAAGAAGGTCGAATCGGTGTGTTTGATACAAATGGTAACAAACCACCTACTTTGTATAGACAATATCATAGAAAGATAGTATATACTATTATTTGGGGTCCATGTCCAGAGAGTAAGCAGTATGTGTTATACTCTTGTGCAGAAGGAGAACTTGTATTCTATGATCCTGTAAAACCAAACCAAGGTAACATCTTGCATGTTTCACTTGAAACATTTGCTGTTGATTATGTTAGCAATCTATTGTATGTGAAGTGTGACAATAAAGTTTCGGGAATATTTAATGGCAACAATGCAAACAGTTGTGTCCACTTTGATGGAAACAGAACTATTCTCAAAACTTTAATATCACACCTTTGTATATTGTGAGTAATTTAAAATTATTCTTTTTATTAGAACCTACATCTGTAATAAAAAAAGAATGTACAGGATTCAATTGGAAGCCAGACTTTTCCTGCTTGGCAGTAGGATTTGAGAATGGGTATGTTCTAAAATCCTACAATATTACATTTTTCAATATTTCTCAATCCATACCGTTAATTATTTTTCAGATCAATTTCATTTCTTAATCGCAAATTTAAAATGTGTGGATACGCTAAATTTTCCTCTGTCATGGTGTATTGCTTAGCATGGCATCCAGAGAGTACTGCGACAGATTCAACATACTCTCCATTAAGAAATTATTTGGCCGTTGCTTTTGAGTCATGTAAACTAATAGTCTTTGATTTATCCAATTTCATGGACCATTTAACAAAATTAGAAAACTCAACTGAAAATGATAATGAAAAAACATTTGATTCTTATAAAGTGCATGAGGTCGTGGCCAACTTAACTGGACATGTCCATAGTATTGTTTGTTTGGCATGGAATCCATACATTAGTGGACAGTTGATATCTGGTAGTTATGATAGTACGGCACAGGTAAGAACATGAAAATACGTCAAGATTTATAGGTATAAAATTGATATCTTAAATATACAAAATATATAAATGTACCTCTTTTATATAAAAACGATTAATTAATTAGGTGTGGAACGTTGAGACACAAGAATTGATAGCCACTTATACACAACATAGTGGTCCAGTACTGTGTTGCATGTGGAGTCCACTAGATCCTAATTATATCATAACAGGTTCGTTAGATTTTACTGTCCGAATATGGAAAGTAACGGACAATAATCCCGTTGCACCGCAAGAGAAAGTGCATACAAAATCAGCAAAGAAAAATAAAGACAAACAAATAAAAACAAATAAAATTGTTGATACTTCGATTCAAAATAGTGTAACAGATTTAACAAACACCATGTCGGAGTGTTCGGTTTCGAACGTTTCTCAACCCTTGCAAAGTATGAAAACAATATTTGTAGTTGTACTGTTGAAACTATGTTATGTCGTAATATTAGTAGTGGACTTTCAATTGTAGAATTAAAGACAGTACCGATGAAAGAAGAAGTAAAAAAGAAAAAGCGTGAGAAAACATATTTCGTGAAAAGTAGTAAAATAATGGATAATACAACCCAGTTGTTAAATTCTCTCGTAAATATTGTGAAAACTACAGAACGTGAGAACGGAAATATTGAAGAAGATCAGGAAGATATATCGTATCATATGTCACCGTTTTTATTTTCAACAAAAGAAAACTTTATGTCCTTTTTTGCCGATAATAGTAAGTTATTTATTATTAAGAAAAAATATGTTAGATTGCATCATATACCTGCCCAATATCATCATCTTTTGTCCATCTACAGAATATGCTCATATCGAGGAAGGAAGACACGATGTAGCCACTGAAATGGACATTTGGTGTGACAATCTTAAAGAAAACTTAGATGAAGCTGTGAAAGAGAAACGACTCAATGACTCCCTTGTTTCGCTTTCAGCCAGTTTATCCATGAAGTGCATACTTACCTTATTAAATCATTGTGTAACATATAATTAGAGTCATTGTGAAACCAACTTAATAATTACAATATGTTTTAGAACATGGAAAGAAATGTGTGAATTATATGCATATCAATTAATAAGTGACGGTAAAGCTCACAAAGCAGTATCATATTTACTTTGTATACATAAAACTTACAAAGCTATAGAAGTACTCCAGAATGCAAATTTACATAAGGAAGCTTATGCTCTTGCAAGATGTAGACTTGAATCTGATGATCCTGTTCTGACGAACGTATTACAAGACTGGGCAAAGTACAGCGCACATATTGGCCTTTTTGAAGATGTAGCATACATGTAAGTTATTATATTAAAAAACATAGTACATGTCACAAATAATTTTACAATCATACTTTCAGTTACGCTAAGTTGGGAGACTTTTCTAATACAGTGAAATATCTTGCGCGTCGTAAAGATCCAACCACTTTAATTACCGCAGCTGAAATTGCACTTTTATGTAACGATGATATTCTCAGTAAATCGTTAGCTGAGGAAGCAATAATTGCAGCTTTCAAAAACTCTGAGTACAATTTAGTTAGAAATATAATCACAAAGTTCACATACCTTAAGGTATATATTTATATCATGTATTCCTATTTCGTTTTAAATATGATAATATAACTATTCAAACATAATTCGATTTTAGTACCAAGAAGTACATATAATCGTTGTTGAAAAACTCCGACAAGTTATTGAAAGAAATGTAATACCCGACTCAGTTCAGCTGTGGTTAAATGGAGAACTAAAAGATGGAATGTTACAAGTTTTTGAAATAACTTGTAAAGATTACTATCCTTGTTACGATGATTTACGCCAAAGCAGCATCTGTAATACATTGGATAATGAAGAAATGGTAGGAATATACTTGAAATAAATAGTGCGATCGAAGTCAATAATGAATGATGAAATCGATAATATTCAACAATTTTCAATTTCAGTTATGGCTAACTGTTAGCTATGAAATTGCATTGGCTGTAATTTCGCCTGAAAAACAACAGCGATTAAAACACATTGTTTCCGCATTAGGAACCATTAGTCAGTTTGAAACCTTGCATCGGAATAATCATGAATATCATCCTAACTTTTTGATCGAAGTCATTATGAAATTGGATAATAGAAATCCAACTAAAGAAGAAAGCATTTATGCAAAAACTGACTATCCTGTATCAGTCAGTTTACGAGCATACTTATGCAGTGCTTTTTTGAATTGGTTTGTAAATAACATAAATGAAGAATACGTTAATGTCAACATGCATGTTTATATCAATTTAATAGAAAACTTGATTGACGATGCACTGAATAAGCAAGCAGTGAAGCAATGGTTAATAACAAATGAAATTAACAAAGTGGAGAGTCAAGTAGCATCTGCATTATGTGAGTTGTATAAGTATTATCTAATTGATTTAAAAAAATTTTACTTTAATTTTAATTAATTGTTTCATTAGGTAAAACACAAGAAGAAAATGAAAATGAACAGACTGCAGAATCCCTTGTACAAAAACTGAATGCATTAAAAGTTGAAAAGAAACAGCTTGTGGATGATCTAGTTTGTGTTCCTAATCCAGTCATGGTTTACAGCAAGGCAAATGAGTTAGCTGGCAAATTGACGGATGAAACAATTAAATCTACATTCCTAGATATAGTTTCGAAAGCATGGACAAATGCTACCTCGTGAATAAAATCTTAAGTGTACTTAATTTTTCTATAAAGACTGACTACGATAGAGATAGGTTGTTTCTCATTCCATGAATTACAGTCAGTAGTGATGTAATACTCAATACTTGATTTTTTTCTAATTAATTTCTTTTATACATTTTATTTAGACCATATAGATAAGAAATGAAGGCACTTGTTTCTCAACATATTTACATAATTTAAGAATTATGTAATAGATTTAGATATTATACAAAATTATAAAAATACAATTTTTATTTACAAAAATGAGAATGTAAGTATTATAAAATATGTTTTTTTTTATTTGTAAGGAAATACAATTTATAACAAGAGATTGTTGTTTTCTTTTAATTCAGACTTACTTTCCAAAAACGAATTTCTCTATCACTTGCAGCACAAATGTATGGCTCACTGTAATGCCATGTTATTCCACCTATTAATTTAACTTGACCACAAAGTATCTCTTGGTCAGACTTCACATTTCTTATTTTCAATAAATTATCCGGTCTACCAATAGTTGCAACTAAATGATCGTAAACAGGAGAAAATTTTACTATTAATCCACCTTCAATGTGAAGAGGACCTGATTCCTGTGGTAAACTGAAAATTAAAGAAAATATATATTTAATATAGAAAATGTATTCATCAGCTGATTTTCTATAGTTTCCATTTTTATTCGAAATACCTCAGATTGGATATATCCCATAGAAGTAACTTTCCAGCAGCTATACCAGCTATTTTAAATGGATTAGATCCCCAATCGATTGACATTAAAGGAACAATATCTGCATCTAGAGACATAATTGCTTGTTGACTTCGCACGTCATACATGTGAATCTGCCCATTCTTTTCTCCCACAAGAAACTTGCCAGGTTTTTCAGGGTGAAAACGTATGGTCATACCAGGCGATGTTAAATAAAATGTGGAAATACATTTTTCATCTTCCTTTACAGCCCAAAGTTTACATGTATGATCATCGGATGCAGAAGCCAATATTTCACCCTCAGTTTCATAACAAATTGAATTTATATAATCTTTATGCCCTTCCATCTTGTATTAAAAAGAAAAAATTATAATTATTATTAATGAAATAATATTAATAAACCATTACTTATGAAAAGATACATGAAATAAATTTATATTACTTTACCTCACATACAGTATCATCAGTCATATTACTGGTATACAATCTTATTCTAAAATCTGCCCCAGCAATGCAAAACATTAAAACTTTTGGTACTACGCTCAAGGAGGTTTCTGGACTCCACGCGATGGCATGTGGTCTGGTGTCATGACGAAATGTTCTTAAAGGATTATAAGCTATATCTTCTACTGTCTCATCCTCTTCCTAAAACAAATGTATATTCTTAACAATTGGACTTTTCCACTAATTAAAGATATATTTAATTTTTTTAAATAGAAATATAACACAAATATATTGTTAGATCACTTTATAATGTAAAATAAAAAGTGGTCTTTAAATTATACATCAAATTCATTAGTATCATTAATTAAAATAAGATACTTTCATTCGTTTCAATATTCAATTTCGTATTTCCGACTTTTTCAAATTGTATTCAGCCCCGAGTGAAGTTATCCTTCGTTACAGATGTTCAACATATACGCAATAAAATCTTTACCTGAAATTTAATAGTACCGATAACAATTTCTTCGGCAAGAGCAATACAAATTAAATGTCGAGACCATTCATACTGTGACAATTCGACACAATATATTTGTTTAGAGAAATGTAATTGAAACGTAGGCGGTACAGTCAGTGCCTCGTCCATCCTGTATTCGTAATTATCGGACTTAATTTAATGCAAGTTGATGCAAATGATGAACTTGTTTTAATAAAATTTACGGAAGATCTCCCGGCATAACCTTCAAAGTTTCACAAAAAAATTAATCTATCGATGTCTTACTGAGACAAATATCAGCGAATTTTATATGAACGGTAAATGACAGTTAAAAATTTCCTCTCTGATTTACTAATTCATTCATAATGCAATTGCTTGGGGTGTCGTTACGCTACAATTACGATCGTAATCTCATATAAACATAAAAAATATGCACACATTGAGAGGTGAGGTTAGGTCGAATTCAAATCATCCAGAGGGCAGTAGGTATTTTACGTGTGGTATATGTAATCGTTCAACGTGCCGCGTATCTCTCGGAAACGAACTTGTTTCGCTAAATATAAGATCGCCGCTCACACGTGCCGCGAGTTTTTAACTCCCTGAGCAACGACCAGATATGAATTGACAGGCTGTAGTGGCAGAGATCTTGCCAAACGGTATCTTCGATCCGCCTCGATCTACGATCGCGTTACGAGGTGGGTACCTTCTGTCAAGGCATGCTGGCTAGGGCATGCTGTGCACACTTCGCAAGCTGCTTCGCCTCGTGTTTTTCTTTCATTCTAATCACACGATTTCACGTTATCCGCGTGTAACGCAAATTTTCACCGATTCACGTAAGCCTGTGTAGGCAGTATGAAGCATTGATACTTCACACGAAACACGTATTTCACCTTCGTACGTTTGACTACGATTTTGAATTTTCAAAGGAGTATTATTTTGCGAACTCGAAAAGTTCATCTTACTATTATACCCTTTTGATTTTTCTATCATTCAACCAGGCTTTACGTGTGTCGTTTATAAATACACGTGTTTTTGAACGTAAAATAAAACTACTTAACACTGATGTATGTATAATATTGATGAATGTGTTGCTTCAAATGATGAAAGAAATTTAATGGGTTTTATCATTTGAAGTAGAAATAGATAAACCAGTTGGTATCTCTTGCACATATGTTTTAGAGGTCAAATATTCAAGCATCAACTGTATGGTTTTTTTACATGTGAGTTTATAGAAACATGGGTCACATGAAGCTAGTCATTATTTGTATAAACTACAATACATCTATCTTTTTGCCACTGTGTTTGTCTAATTAATTAATAGATTGGTCTAATTCATAGAAATAAGGGCAATACACAAATTTCAGTAATCTTTTTGTCCATTATGGTAAATCAAACGATTATAAGTTAAAGGGAAATGACTAAAATTATGACTGTACATCTGGATATAATAATTAAAATTTATATTTGATTAGTCATTTAGTATTGAAATAAAAATATAAATTTATAAGATTTAATAATTTAAATTCCATTATTACAGTGCACTAGGTAGGGATGGAGTTCGGGGCAGGAGATGTTGCCCAAATATCAGCAGAACTTGCTCAAGTGGTTGAGGTGATGATGTCACCAAATGTACCACAACAACAACGTTTAGAAGTATATAATGCTTGTGAGAGATTTAAAGAATCTTCTCCTTTGTGTGCGCAATGTGGACTATACCTGGCACAAAAATCACCAAATAGAAGTTCGGTGGTTCGTCATTTTGGACTACAGCTTATGGAGCATTGTATTAAGTATCGGTGGACTCAGATATCACAATCGGAAAAGATATTTATAAAGGAAAATGCAATGAAGCTACTCCAAGAAGGTATAGAACCATTGTTACAAGAGGAGGCTCATATTAAGGATGCATTGTCTCGAGTTGTGGTGGAAATGATAAAACGAGAGTGGCCACAACAATGGCCTACACTACTAGCTGAACTTAGTCAAGCTTGTACAAGAGGCGAAAGTCAGACTGAATTAGTTCTTCTTGTGTTTCTAAGGCTTGTGGAAGATGTTGCCCTTCTACAAACATTAGAATCCAATCAAAGGAGAAAGGACATATATCAAGCACTTAACACAAATATGGCAGAGATTTTTAGCTTTTTTTTAAGATTGATGGAACAACACATTTCAGAGTTTCAAAAGAAAAGTAGTTTAGGATGCACTTCCGAGGCGGCAGCACATAGTAAAGTTGTTCAGGTATATTTAGCCCAAAACTTTTAAGTAATATAATTTATAAATTTCATATATAACACTAAATTTAATTATTTTTACTCGATAGGTAGTATTGTCAACATTAACTGGATTTGTGGAATGGATTTCAATTAATCATGTAATGGCAGAAGATGGTAGATTACTGCAAATATTATGTCTTCTACTAGGAGATCCAATATTTCAGTGTTCGGCGGGTGAATGTTTGTTGCAAATTGTAAATCGTAAAGGGAAAGCTGAAGACAGGAAACAATTAATGATTCTGTTTTCTGAAGATGCTCTAAGATATATTTATGCAGCAGCAACTGCAGCATCGCCTATTACTGGGTCAAATGAGTTTATTAACTCTTCTAACAACCATTATTTGTTTTTAAAGAAGCTTACACAGGTAAAGTTTATTTTTGTCAAGTAAAAAATATTACCTGAAATTGTTCAACGTTTATGTAATTTACATTTCATTTTAATCAAATTCAGGTATTAACTGGTATGGCGACACAACTGTGTACACTTTGGGGCAAAGACGATGGTTCCAGTATTAGGCCAACGCATTTCAACATATTTTTAGACACAGTATTGACTTTCACTATGTCTTCAAGCTTGACACTGATACATTTGGCAAACGCAATTTGGATAATGTTGTTTAAACACGAACAGATAAAACAAGATCCGCTATTGTTAACTTACATACCGAAATATGTAGAAAGCACAGCGCCAAAATTGATAAAAGTTGCCTATCCGCACGGTAGACAGAGTAATGGAATGAGCACGTACTGTCTTGCGGATTACGATTCGGAAGAAGAATTTAACGTATTTCTTCATAGACTAAGAACTGACTTATTGGAAGGATTTCGGCATGCGACGATGGTAGCGCCATTAGTAACGTTTACTTATGTACAGCAATGGTTAACAGCGAAAATAACAAAAGGTATGTCAGACCTTCGATATAAAAGTGATCAGAATGATCCGCAATATCTTGAATGGGAAGCTCTTGCACAAACTTTGGATTCTGTTGTATCGAAAATTCTACTGATCAACGAACGACCAAGCGTGCAAACTGGTTTGCAACTGTTGGAATTATGCCTCGGTTATTCTCCCCAAGACCCTTGGTTACTGTCAGCTTTACTTTCTTGCATTAGCGCTCTTTTTGTCTTCCTGTCTATGTCAACTGGTTCGATGGCTATGCCAGGAGTAGCCATCCTGCCAAGAGTACTGGAAAAGATCTTTGCTGCTCTGGTATTTGAAGCACCTGGTGAGACGAAGGGTACTCGATCTAGAGCAGCAAAGAATGTAAGACGTCATGCGGCTAGTCTGATGGTCAAGATTAGTTTGAAGTATCCATTGCTGCTCCTCCCAGTGTTCGATCAGATACATTCAATGGTTCGTGGTTTAGCAAGAGAGCCAAGTTCTTTGTCCAAGATGGAGGCTATCACCCTGTACGAAGCATTGTTACTGATATCGAATCACTTCTGTGATTATGAAAGACAAACTAGATTTGTTGCTGAAGTAATTGGAGAAGGATCAGCAAAATTTATTGCTCTTGGATCCGAAGCATTTAAAGGTCCATTAGAACTGATGAGATTCATAGGATTCGGTGTTCCATTCCGGATGATCCGGATCGTGCTGCGAGAGGCAGTTTTGTTGCAGCGCTTAGCGAAAGCGGAAATCCGGTATATCGGAATCCTGCTACACCACATGTAATTCCAATTTTACCTACACTTTTCGCATTGCTCAGGGCAATGAACGCTCTCTTCACACCTGCAGCACTGACAGCTTTACCAGAGGTAAGGAAGCCATCGATAAGTTTTTCCAGTCAATCATTTGTTGTAATTAAATACAATAGAATGTAACGAATCCCATTTCTCTTCTCAGGAATACAAAAATGCTTACGAATTACTGGAATCAGAAAAAGCAAATTTGTTGGGTTTAAATGTAACGAGTGATAATGCTTCTGAACCTGATCAATCTTCGAGTACTGCTTTGATTCGAATGCAATCATTTCTCAGTAATATTAATGATCAGTGTTATCATATGTTAGGTAGTGGATGCCATATGATTGGAAGAGACTTTTATCAGTTACCTGGTTTGGCACCAGCACTTATCAACTCAGTTTTTTCTAACATGGAGGTAATTTTTTATTGTCGTTTTTATTATTTCAAAAATGTGTATTCATATTCTAAAGCTTAAAGCTTAGGCTGTGTTTATGTCTTACCAGAAATTTTATTTATTAATTTCAGATGATTCCGGACTACAGATTACGACCTATTATACGTGTTTTCATGAAACCATTCATATATTCCTGTCCTCCTGCATTTTACGGAAGCGTACTTGTACCCGTGCTGGCTCATATTTCTACGCACAGTAAGATATTTTATCGTCTTTTATTTTCTGTTCTCCCCTTTGGTAACATTTATTTACACATTTGATGGTATTTTCACAGTGTGCCAAAGATTAAGTGCCAAGTGGCAATATATTGCTCATCTTTACGAATCTGGTGGTTTGGACGAAGAGAACACTGACACGCAGGAGGTTATAGCTGACATGTTGAACCGAAATTTGACAAGGGACTTTGTAGACGTACTCAAAGTGGCCCTTGTTGGAGGTGCTGCTAGTGATGCAACTCCCCCCGATACAATGGAACAAGACATGGGAGGTATGGCTATAGATCCTCCTTCATCACGTGGTAATAGCATAGTTGCAGAAGTGGTCAGCGAATTGGGTACCTTTGTTCTTCGACATCCATCTACGTGTCACAGTGTCGTCTTATGCGTGTTAGGGTAATGAATACTTTTAGTAGCAATTTTTTCTTTAAATATAAGAATAAATCGGATTACAACTCAACAATCCCTTTCGCATTCAGGGCTTTGACTTGGAATGATTCAAATGCCAGTTTGAAAGCTACAACGCTGACTGGGCCAGTTGTACGAGCATTAGCAGCTGATGGTAGCCTGACACCTGCTATGGCCGCTCATATTATGGTAGCTATCCTCCAAGGCTTACAGCTTCACGGACAACACGAGGCCAATCAAGGATCTCTGGTCACATTGGGTACACAAGTTTACGAATGTCTCCGACCTAAGTTCCCCAATATTATTGAAGTAATGCAAAAAATTCCGGGCATTAATCCTACCGACCTGCAACGTTTCGACGAAAAAATGGCTGTTGTTAGTACTAAAGGAAACAAGGTTGAGAAAGGAAAGAAGGATTTGTTCAAGAAAATCACAAATCAGGTAATATTTTCTGTCCTAATTTTACAATAAATAAATAGGGCAAATAAGTGTCACTGTTTAACTACGCATTGCATAATATATATATTCGGTTACAGCTCATTGGTCGAAGCGTTGGTCAGTTATTCCGTAAAGAAGTTAAGATAGATAATTTACCGCGGATAGAAGTTTTTGGAAAATCGCAGCAAACACGCGTTGACGAGATCTCGAAGAATTCGACTGACAGTGGTATCGCTTCGTTGTTTGCAGGACCCACGTAGCAGAAACTACATCTAGATAAGGCATCGTGAAAACAATTTTCTACAGAAAGAAGAACATTCAACTATAAATATGAAAATCCTGTATCGAAAATAAGAAGATTCCATAGTTTCCTTCGAGCAGATGTTCGTCTCTTTTTTTTTTTTAATTATTCGTGAGGTTGAACGTGTGCATACAGTCTGAATAAGTACGATGATACATAAGTAAACTACTTAACGTATGTATCAAAGATAAAAAATAAAATTGAAAAGATTACGCTTACGCACGCATTCAACGTCAACTGTGAATAGTTTGTAAAAAAAATCTAGTGCTATTTATGAGAGCTATCTTATTTTTGGTCCGGGATTTTGTCGTATACAGAAGAAATTTTGTTCAATGAATATCTAGGGTGCGCGAGCGCGTGTGTGTGTATGTATGATATTGCGTGTGGTGCGCAGAGATACGCACTTGTAATATAAGGAAGACGTTCGTCGCTAAAGAACAACATGCAACATTTCTGACACAAGAAATTGAAAAAAAAAAGTCTAAATAATTGAGCAATTGTATATTAAGTCGCACGCATTTATTTCCTATTTTTTTTCCATTTTACATAAAATCTCATATAACAATGTAGAACAGCAGCATGATTTCGAACGATCACGCGATATGTAGAACAGTTTTGTAAACAACATTTCGCTACAATATACAATACAGATATTGTTGATTTATATAAAACGATTTCTACAATTTGGTATAAAAATTTGTATGCAAATCATTTATAATTGTTCTCGAACAAGTAAAATGTGTACATTTCTTGGCACTTTTTAAAAGCGCTGTTATAATATAATATCTCGAATCAACATTTGTGTTCTAAAAGTTTTATTGAGTTTTTATTATTTAACTTTTTTAGTCAACTTTTACTATTTAAAAAAAAAATACAAAGTGAACATTTTTTATATGTGGAATTATTTAATGTAAAATGACATCTTCTGTTTCGTACATATTACGATGATTAAATGCAAGTTTTATTCAACACTTAACAGTTGGTGAAAATGTAGCATTCCACTTTCTCTAACATGTATACATTTTTTAATGTTAACTATCGATTGAAAATGTAATATTTTCATATATTTTTTTTGTTTTTTATTACTTCTTACGTTTAATTAATTCTGTTATTGTGAGAACTTCGGCACTGTAACTATCGCACAAAACTTGGATTAGTATTTTGTAGTACGATTGTCATTATGCATCAAACACTGACTGGACTTTACAAAAGATAATTCATATTAATGATCAGCTATTTGACATATGACAATCATCGCACGTGGAATTTAATCCGTAAAACATAAACGATACGGAGCATTATGCGATAGAGACTGTGTTACTTAAAGGAAACATACAATGATGGGTATACAGAGATTTAAAAATTCTGTGACAACGTTTACAGATGTCGATGCATTTCGAAAAGTTCGAAGCATTAGTACTTGATGTATGTCCTTGTTAAATGTGGTCAATCTGCCTATCATATTAAAAGTGGTTTCATTTTGAAATAAAATTGATAAATAAATATATTTTGCCATAAGATATACTAGAACTCTTGTGACAGAATTCCAGTTTTTGTCAGCTACAAATTTTATAAATAGTTGAATTGACTACAGAGTTAGGCACTAAAAATTTTCCTTCAAAACACATTCATAAAAATCATACAACTTATTAACTCGATCTGGAGTAAGTAAGTACGAATACGATTAAATACACATTTTGTATTTTTTATACGGTATGTATGCGCATATAAAGTGAAACATTGAAAGGGTGTGTATACCCTTACAGATAGTTTTTGGAATACGATTGCAGTAAAATGCAAAAAGATATTTAACAGTTTCTCATTTGTCTTTTAATGTCATTTAGTATATCTCCTTACCAATGTTTAAATTTTAAAACATAAACGTCAGGTAAACAAAATATGGAAAAATTAATCATTCATGAAATGTGATTTTATTGCTGAATCGGTAATCACTGGTGTAAATCTTGAAACAATCTTACAATAGAATTCTAGTAATTCTATCGTAGATCAATCAGAACCGAATGTGATGTTCGCACGGGAATACCGAGTACTGTTTTGAAAAAATACAACCTTAAAACAGGTTTTTTGCAATGTTTAACTTTGACCACGTGAAAAGTTAATGAAAAATAATCCAGAATTACATCAGTTTAATTAGTTTTTATAATTTGTAACAAATATAGAAGAACAATTTGTTAAAAATTTATCGATCGAATAAGTTTTCATGAATATTCTGCTGTTATGAAAATTTTATGACTGCTGAAGTCATAGTTTTTATGCCATTATTTAAAGGTGGACCCTAAGGTTAATGCTGACATTTCATTCCACTGCGCATTTTTTTTTATATATAAAGAACTTTAAACACCTGTAATGATCGATAATAGGTATGTATATGGAGCAGTTGCTTTACTTTAACTAATTAAATGTTTACAGATTTCTTTTTCTTCAATTATTTGAAAAATGCGCAGTGAGATGACATAAATATCTTTGATATCACTAACCGTAATATCTATAAGACTCGAGGTACTTTGTTATTGTGATGTTGACACTTCGAAAGCGACCCGACCTATTTCCAAATCCAGTTTACAATATAAATTAGTTCCCATCAATTATTCACGTCGAGAAAAATCAAATAGAATTACATAATCTCACAGAAATTGGAAGAATCAACGAAAGAAAAATATCAGAAAGATACTTCGGAACACGAGATAACCGACAGTTATCGAATAAGTCACACGTTTACTAGGAACTGTCAATGATGACCACTATATTTGGTCAATTTTATTCGTTCACACGATCATTCGCGTCGTTCGTTCATACAGAAAGCGCACAAACAACAAAGATGCGTACTATTTATCTCGATCATAGATGCCTTGTGTAGATTATATGTAGCATATATAAAGGAAAGTTTTCTTAATTTCAAACAGGTCTGATTTTGTACTTCATAAAGGTAGGTCTTGGTAGGTCTCGCATAATCTGGTGGTCTTAAAATACGTAAAAAAATACAGTGAATATTTCATTAAGAATAAATATCTTTAATGAGCGAGCAATTGAAGAGTAAGGTACCTGATTTTTTTTTTTACTTTGAACGTTGACGGTACGTGTTTACCGCGAATTCAGTACAATTCATTGCGAGATTGAAATATCGTTAGAAACCTGATCCGGAACAGATCGTATGCTCGGTAAGTGTAAACGTGAAATTGAATATCTTTGTAGACAAATCGTTCTCGATTTGATCGTTAGGCGTCCGAGACATGTTCCGAAGCACTTGGGCTCGCATTAATATCGTCCTTTTTCCCTACCAATAAAAACACGTCCATATTATCTTTTCCCTTAACATAAACTTGGCCACGCGGCTCGAATTCGTATTGTTCCGCGAGTATATCCAACGAGTTCTTGGCCACCTGTATCCTTCCAGCGACTCCGGTCGAGTCCATTCTAGATGCTATATTTACAGCGTCACCCCAGATGTCGTAGTACAGCTTGGTAGCACCGATCACGCCGGCGGTAACGTCCCCGTAATTAAAACCGATCCTCAAAATTAATTTGAAACCTAACAGATCTCTGTTGAAGTCATATATTACTTTATGCATAGCCGTAGCAAAGTCCATCAACTGGAAAAGATGCGCCTGTTCGTGGTCACTTTGCTGCCTGACTTGCGGATTTAAGCCGCTCGCTGCCATGAACGTGCTACCGATGGTCTTGATCTTCTCCACGTTCGAGAACTCCGGTTTCTCTAAAAGCTCGTCGAAATCGCCGATAAGTTCGTTCAGCACACGTAAATACTCTTTACCGCCTAAATAGGACTCGTCATAGAGTTCATTGAAGTTCACTATACTCGCAAAAATGATCCCCACGGCCTTGTGATTCTGCGAATATTTTGCGGTGGTTTTCAACTGATCAGCGACATATTTCGGTATAATATTGTGTAAAAGCCAGTCCGCCTGATTCTTCATCGATTGTACACGGCATTTGTCCCGTGCCGCTACCGCGTTCCCGTGGAAGCTCAACCGATAACTGATCTCGAACTCACGATTTAAAAACCAAACTAGCAACAGCAGAAGTATCATGTCTAAAAAAATCTCGGAATTGTACAATCTTTCGTTGTATCTGATCTCCGCCTCTCGCTGTCTCATCAGAATGATTTTAGATGCGTGGACAGAAGCACCGTTGAACACTTCTTTCATAGTAGTTTCGTTGAATCGATTCATGGTTAAGTTAACGACGTGTTGATCTTGCAGAGGCTGTAGATAATGCATCGAGTCGTTGATAAATCGATTACCGAGATTCTCTCGATTGTACGATATGTGACTTATTATAAGAAGAAGAAAAAGCACGCCCATAAACGTTACTAGGAAATTCTTCATCCAACAATTGAGTTGCGTGAAATTACAGAAATGAACTAAACCGACGAAAATCAGGTAACCGTAATAGTATTCGAAATTGTTCAAATGATGAAAGTTGCTGCACGTATAGTTGAGCAGAATAGACGTGATCGGTAAACCGACCAGAATCGCGCCACAAATGTGCCACGGATACCATTGCGAAAAGAATTTAAATATTTGTTGTATTAAAGTTGCGTGGACCAGATTCGGATACAGAAGTTGACGGACGCAAAGTGACACCGCTATAATTTGAATCGTAGTGGCACATACGAAAAAGATCAGATAGTATAACGTCGGCTCGCAAAGTAAAAAGAGTGAGACCGAAACGGCAGTGTACACTAACGCCGATATTAAAATATCAAAATACGTATTAAACCTCGAGGTAGCCAACGTAGGCGGATTACCACTGATACATTCGCTGACTTTATGAGCATTCTCTCTGTATTCCTTTTCCATTTCTTTGTTCTTGAAGAAAAGAGTCACACTGGAAAGTGGTGGTTTCACAAAGTACGAACGTTGAGAGCTTACGTTATCTTGAACGCATCTTTATGAACAAAAAGAATCATACGAATCAGATGACAATTCCTTAAAGTGTATAAAATGGAAATTAACGTTACTTATTCACCTAATTAGTTGTAGATCAGACTGTTTTCTTAACTTATGAAAACATGCACCAAAAGTATCCGTAACTGCCGGAGGAAACGGATAGGGTGGTACTGAAGACGATGGCTCTTGAACAGAGTTCAATGTCGAACTAGAAGTATAATAGCCACTCACTCTGTGTGCCAGTAAGTCTCCCTGAGCCATACCGTTCATCAAAAACAACTAAAATGTAAAATTAATTGCTACAGAAAAAGGAGTATACTAACACCGTAACTAATATACTTTCTTCAATGCATTTATACTGTGTGTGTGTACAGGGTGTCCCAAAATAGCTTTGACTCCCAGGAACCCTTCATTTCCGGGAGTCGAAGCTATTTTGGAGAACCCTCCTGTATATTATAATTGTAATACATATACCTCATCTGTGTCACTGTTTTCAAATAATAATACCTGTTGCTGTATACTGCTACGTCTGCTATTACTTCTAATACCAGAATCTTTTCTACTACACATCGAAGAGGCACGACTAAGTTCCTCTTGACCAGATAATAAAGGACTAGAAGGTACAGGGTTTGGATCCATTTCAATGTCATTCTGAGACGTATTCTGTAAACAGATACAACGTATATATAAATGGGACAATATAATCGAATATCGAAGATAAAACTTTTTCTCGACGTGATTGACCTGCCTAAATCCATTACGATCTTCAAACGACTGAGATTCTGTTTTCGACCGTTCGGCAATAATTGCTTTGGCTTCCTCCATTTCTAATGGAGTCATCTCTTCCGTAGTTCGTTGTCGTTGCAAATATTTCCACGGTCTGTTCCGCGTTTTTTTCTTTCCGTAACTAGCAACGGATATTGGACTTTTATTCACGTTTTCTTTTTCATCCGTAGTATCGGTATCTCCATTTTCAGAGTCTAAGATACTCGGCAAGGAGTTTGCTTTCATTCTATAATTACTTGCATTTGTAACCATATGAAGATAATGATATTTCGATTTAGACTGACTGTTGCAAGAGGCCAATCGATGACGCGACTGCATCAAAGGAGATATACTCTTTGGAGATACAATATTCGTTATGAATTGACTGGTAAAATCTATTTTTCGACCTTTGATAAAATAAGACTTTATACCTAGAACAAAAAGATATTTACCATTTTATCATCAAAACCTGTTATTCCATATGGTCCTTTGTGCTTAATTTTAAAGAAATTATATACCATTTATCAGATCTCCTTCTTCTGTAATATATTCATCATTCAGAAAACTCAATGTATTTTCACTTAAATGAACCCTTCCTGGTTTTCCTGTGCTTTCTAATTTATTTGCTAATGTAACATCATTGGACCAAACATCGAATTTAAATCTTTTGGTACCTACAATACCACATAGCACAGTTCCAGTGTGTACTCCAACTCTCATATTAACTCCCTCTCGTCTCTCAATATCAAACTGTTTTATAGCTTCTATCATAGCTGTTGAAAAAGATGTTTGAATTATTTCATGTCTCCATGCTACCTCCTCGAAACGCTTGGAAAAAGGGCCAATTACCTAAACCCATTTCGATACAACATTTTGCATGATCAGGCCTTGGTTCTGGACATCCACTTACACAGTAATAACAGTCTCCCAAAGTAGAAATTTTCTCACACCCGTGATGTTCACACAGATCATCGAATCTTTCGAACAAATCATTTAAAATCCCTACCAGTTCTTCCGCAGTCTTATTGGAACTCATTCGAGTAAATCCAACAATATCAGCAAATAAGATACTAACATTTTCCATTGAATGCATATTGAAAGGGCGAAACAGTGAACGTATATCCGTATTGTTGGACGGTATAGATCCTTTCTTCAAAGAATCTTCACGCTCCCTTTCACGTTCACTTTCTTCCATTAACCAGTCCGCAACTTTCGGTGGCATTACCGAATGAATCATTTTTTCTTTGAGTTGCTTCTCCATTTCTAATTGACGCCGGACTAATAATGACTGGCCAACTTTCATAAATGTACCACGCATTCGTACAAAAGTCATTATTAAAATATGAATACCTATCAGATGAATGCAGATCTGCATTAAGATTCTTATACCGAGACTCGTAGAAAAATAATCGTCTGAGAATGGACTACTGGATATGTTGCTACTTAAAAAATAACTTGACATTTCTTCACTTTTATGAGGCAACACATTCTCTCCCAATACAGAGGTTGTACTATTTATGCCTTTGGAAATCAAATCATTAGAAGAATCATTTATAGTGGAATTAACATTGGCTAATGTTGATATTATGCTGGAGTTCAAGTTTTTTAAAACATTCGTATTGTTTATGGCCTCAGACAATCTTCCAATCATAGTTTCTTGGGAAAATGACTTCAGTTCGAGCATGTTGGATAATAGTTTTGAATCCTGAGAATATGGTACTGCCTTCACACTTGTATATTCGTTGTTATTGTGCATCACATTTGAAAATTGACTGTTACTGAAATTACCCAATATCTTGGTGTAATCTAATACAGTATTATTCTCCATAGAGTTAATTGGTACACTATGCTTACTAAAAAAGTTGTCCCTTGCAGTTTTTGTACCATACAAGTAGGCGGTTAAAAATTCGAACAGAAAGGAATAAATCGTTGATATACCCACGCAAATATACAACGGCATTGGCAACACAGTGTAAATCAATAATAAAATCTCAGAGCACAGTGCAAAATGTCCGACTAGAGTTAGGCCATCTACGTAAGGCGGTACTATCGCAAGGAAAAGTAAAGACAAGATGCAAAGAACAGTTGCGACTCCTAGTGAAATCTGCAGCACATACGTCTTGTAATAATCTGTATGTGTTAAATACAAGACCACCGATACCATTGCTCCAATAATTGTGAACACTACTGTTATGGCTGGCCATGTTGTAGTATTATATTCTGTTCCGATTATAACAAAATACGCCAACCACGATAAAGAAACCAACAAAATATATGTTAGGGCATATCTGAAATACATATACATCGATATATGTCTAGCCACAAAACAAACTGAACAATCCTATACTACGTACCGGAATCTTAATCTAATTTGTGGAAAGGCACTTCTTTTGAATTGTTCTTCGAGTATTTCTGAATCGAATTTCGGATTCCACCAAGATCTTGGCGCTGCACGTTCAAATGGTACTGGAAGGCTAATTCCACAACATCCGAGACCTTGACCACTATGTGCCAAATATGTTTGTATATATGGTGCTAAAGATATATGGATTTCGTCTGCTCCACCTTCACTATCATCTTTAGCCCTTGTAAAACTAACAGACGAGCTTCGTTTTCGATTTAAATGAGAAGTCATACTTGACATTCGAATAATACTGAAAACAGGTGTTACTTTAATTCGGATCACTTGTGTAAATAAACATTGGTAAAAATCACTCTACAATGTAATATACCAAAATGAAAGATAAATATATAATTGTGTGTATACATGTACTGTCAAAGAAATGTAAAAGTGTAAAAAAAAATACTTGTCATGGATAACACAGATGATTCCACATCATTGGATCGATGGAGATCTATCAGAATATGTACCATAAAATTTGAGGACATTTGAAACCGACATATTATTAACTTTCGCCCAGTCGAGTCGGGTCACTTTTGACCCATGTTTCTGATGTAATAACTACTACTAATGAGATTACATAATACTAAATGATATTTAGAATCTAAAATTGCAACATGGGCCACAAGTGACCCGGATCGGCCTGTTTTTGATTGGCGATTCGAGAGTTAAAAAATTATCCCTAGCATCCGGCAATATTTACGTCCCAGCTGCACGTAACGCAAATACTGTGTCATCGATCTAGGGTGTGTTAGGATCTCCAACTCGAACTATTACGGATAGTCGTCGTGACCGTTGTGGCTGTTCTCCCAATTGGATGTTCTTTCGATTTCAGTAAGGAGCCTAATGAATACTGTCCCGACATCAAACTGGGAGAGTAGACACAATATATTATGCGTTTGTCAGCAGACATTCAAAAATAGGACTGCTCCTATTTACAGTGTATCTAACATCGAAATTTAAACATGTTGTACATAAAGTCAGCCTAAATGGTAATGAAACTTCAACATCATTTTTCAAGAACCCTGTGTTTACATTTCTAACTCAGATATGATGTAAATAGAGGCAGACCTAACATTTCAATGTTGACAATCTGAACACATTCAACACAGATGAGTCAGCATATGAGCCATATGATATCTAACCCATGTAGCCGATGACTCAACATATGAGTCACATACAGCTGGAACGTAAACATTACTGACTGCTGGGGATAGTCTTGTAATATGTCGGTTTTGAATGCCCTTGAATTTTATAGCATATTTTCTGACAGATCTCCACAGATCCTGTGGTGTAGAATCATCTGGGCGAACTATGACAAGTACTTTTTTTACAGCCTGTACATGTCTACTAAGAGACTGTTTTAAAGTGTTCATTGCAAAAACAATGTCAAGTAATAATTATATTATTGAGCATTAGGGGTATTTGTAATTCATATTTGAGTTTGTACGTTAAAGAAAAGTTTAACAAGTACAGTCGATATTAGGCTTATCCAATTACGAAGAAAGTGGTTATAGAATATTTATTTCAAATGACAGCATGTTTGTTCAATTGATCTACAAAGAATAATACTGTCGTAAAAACAACACATGTAGTTACATACATCAATTCTTTTAATAGCGAAACTTACGGCCGGTTAATTCCCTTCAATTACTGGCGAAATCGCCAAAAAACTAAGGAAATCATCCTCCCCGCTGACATCGAAGATTCTTCGCGTAATCAGCTTGCATCGAAAAATGTCATTTTGTTTTTCAACCTTCTTGCGTGGCGTTCTCAGCGTTAGCGAGAGAGATGATTATATTAAGCACCAAAAATGGGAACCAATTCGTTGCAACGGGTTTACGATTGTGTATACCATCAAAAATTCCAATTAAAATGTTCCGAATTTTCTCTTCTGTAATGCACCATGGCCATCTTGAATCTATCGATGACAGCGCCCATGAATAGAAAGCTCACGCGTTTGAGACTTGTGCTTTTTCGAACAATGAGTTGAACCTGGATGAACTGGTTGAACCAGTTGAACCAAGTTGAATCAAGTTGAACTAACTGGAACTGATGTGTGTCACGAGATGAAAAAATATTTAACACAAAGTTCAGCATACAGTACCGGACGAATATTTCTGGATAAAGGTTTTTTGTACTTATAAGAGAGTCATTTTAGTAAATAATTCTTCACTGAAGTTGGACAGCAGATTTATTTTCCAATAATAAATAAAATCATATGTGACAAGAGGCATCAGACACTTCAAATAATGATTATACGCTTTAACAAGAAATGTAAAAAAATACTTGATAACATGTATAATTTTAAAATAAAAACAACACAACATAAGATGTCCGAATCGATGATTGTTTACATCCTTTTTGTCATAAACTTCAAAAGCCTTTTATATTTATTTAGCAAAAATACATTATCACTTTTGACGTACTATTTGAAATATGTAATTCGTTCGTAATTTTAAATTTATCAGCTTTAAGTTTTGTTTTAAATAACTCAAAAGTTTTCAATAGAATTTATATTCGCATTTTGAAAAATAAGTTATTTGTCAATGATGTCTGAATATGTGTCATTTCATCAGTATGCGAACCAATGTGAACATCTGTTCCGCTTCGAAGTTTCTCAAATGCACCATTAGAGGGCTATGGAGAGCAACCAATTCTGGCAGATTCTCGAATGTAATCTGAAACTCAAACACTATAATTCTTTCATATTCAAATGTCCCTACATCCAAAACACGGTTTGCTTTAGGCTGCTTTAGGTAAGCACGATAAGCATAAGCATTATTGTGATTTCAACTACCGAATCAAAATGAAGAGAAAACTTTTTATTTTTTTCCTTTTCGTTTCACAGTATTAATTATATTTTTGTTACTATAATTATGCCAAATCCTGCACTTTAAATGATAAAATTTCGTATCACTTTTATAATAAGAGCTGCAGGTCTACAGTGTTATGACAGTATTTCGTGTTTATCTTGCTTGTTAATGTAGAGTGATGTAGAGTCAGTTCGGTCGTAATGAATAGTTGTATTTTACAGGTTAATATTATGCAAATTCATTGAACGATAATAAAGAGAAGTGTAACCATTGATGGGATTAAAAAATGTCACAACAAACTGCTCTTGTACAAACTACCAGTGCTGGATCTGACATGACACCTGTACTTGGTAGTATACAATCAATTGGACCTAATACTCAGACAACAACTACTGTACCTAATATCCAAACTGGCAACACGGTAGTACAAATTTTGCAACCTCAGACACAATCTCAACAAACTCAATTTGTAACACAACCACCAAAACAACAGGTAGTGCAACAACCATCTACACAACAGCAGCAGCAGCAACAACAGCAGCAACAACAAGGTTCCTTTAATGACTTTCCACAGGTATATCCTTTGCAGCAGTTAAGAAAGAATTGACCGCAATGAAAACAAATTACCAATTTGTTCTGATTTTAGTTCTTAACGAAAACAAGATTACAAGATCTTGTAAAGGAGGTAGATCCAACAGAACAATTGGATGAAGAAGTTGAAGAAATGCTCTTGCAGTTGGCAGATGATTTTGTGGAAACAACAGTAAATGCAGCATGTTTATTGGCTAAGCACAGACATGCCAATACTGTAGAAGTAAAAGATGTTCAATTACATTTAGGTAAGCTATGAAATATAACAATTTAAATATTTAAGTAATACTTCGGTATTTTAAATGAATGAAGAAGATAAATTATGTAAATTATTTACTTTCAGAAAGAAATTGGAACATGTGGATCCCTGGTTTTGGTACAGACGAAGTGCGCCCATATAAAAGAGCAACAGTTACAGAGGCACACAAACAGAGATTGGCACTCATACGAAAATCGATCAAGAAATATTAGTCTTCCTGCATATTTTATCTTTTATTTGTTATTTTATTATTAAGTGACAACTCTTTTTATATTTACATGACAGTACACTCATAATAACATAGGTCACTGACATTTATAAGAGAATGAAAAGTATAAGTTATATATGGTTTTTGCAATGTATACTTTTAAGTATAAAGTGACTTTAGCATTACATAATAACTGAGATACTATTCTTAAAGAAAATTACTGTATGTGTGAATACAATACCAAAATAAGAAAAGATAAATATAAACATTACAAGGACATGTGTTAAAGTATCTTCTAATGGTAAATAGAATAGTTTTAGACATGTATGTTTAACATTGTAGATTTTGTGTGATATTTTAAGTATATATAAGAACAAATATCTCACGTTTTTAACACTCTGCCGGCCGCTGTCACGCTGGCGTGACTTTTGCTCGCCAACGTTTATCAGCCGGGGTCACGTACGCGTCAACGTATCGCCGGCGGCAGCGTAAAGGCGATGCGAGAAATAAGCGGCCGGCAAAGTGTTAAGTCAAATCTAATTCTAGAGAATTATTCTGGTGCAGATTACAAAATCCAAAGATGTCAATGTATCATGTTTTGCTTTATTTAATACAAATCTAAATTCTAATTTGAAGAGTTAATCAGATAGTAAAGTTCGTCTATTCTTTAATTTAAATTTATTTATCTTAATTTTGGATACAAATGTAACGTCTAAATTTAAAATTATTCCATTCGCACATTAGTGTTTGCGACTATATACGAATATTGCAACCTTTATTTTTTATTACCTTTGACGAATAAATATGATTGAGTGTCACATGTATTCAAATTTGTAACACTATATTCCACTTTTTATCAAGAATTTTCATTTCATTGGACAGATATTCGAAGTGTTAAAATAGGGTGAAGTTAAATTAAAGTAGTCTACCTAGTTATTCATTCACTTAGCAATGACGTAGAGCTTTTATGCAGAGACGAAATTTACTTGGACCGGGATACGTTACATACATAATAATTGAATATTACTATAAATATGCAAATATACAAAAATATTACATTACATCACATTCTTAGATCATCATATAGGGCATGGGTTGTGTCAGTCAAATCACTTCCGGCAGTAAGTCATGTAACAACAAAATCATAATATAAACCCACCTTTTATTTAATATTGACGGTGACCGAATCGTTTCAAGTTCATAAAAATCGTAAATATCAAGTGCAAGAAGTGGTAAATGTAATGTGAAATGGTTCTTACGTGTTAACTGGTTTTTGAATTTCGTTCCTAATTTTGGTGTCAATATCGTGATACTTTTTAGTGTTATATTCACCATGGTACCACCTTAGACGCGTATGCGCATTGTAAATTGTGATCAGCAAAAGTTCCAAGTTTCGCCTCTGTACTAGTACTCTGTGACGAAATCGGAACCTGCTTGTTCATCGAGCTGAATTCATCAAACTGACTATACACATCATAGTGTAGTATATAAATCGTGATAACCTTTTTCTTTCAGGGACGTCCTGGGAGATTTTGCCATCTGCTTCTGGAACATTTTCCAGACGGTATTGTTCATTTGTTTTTGTATTTTCTTATAAAGAGCATGTTGTTTGTAACGTACAGAATATTATTTGCATACTTTTATTATCTAAAATATAAACAGTTCTTTTTTTTCTGTAACATTTGTTTCATCGGGATTCTACATAGTAATCGTAAAGTATCGTCCGAACTTACATGTCTCTATTCTACTAGTCGAGTAAAAAAATTAGACTGAACCGACTTTACGTGATCGTATTACACTTTACACTTTATCGGTTTCAAGAAAATGTGCCATAACTGATAAATATTCAATCGCGAATTGCACTCAATTATAGCAGTTAAGATTACATTAGAGAAGAAATGTATCGTTTCTTAAACGTCAATTGTGTTACAGATTGTGCGGGTCGTAATAGAGGATAATATAATTCATTTTATCCAAACAAGTGATTCAATAAAAATTGATCATCAGAAAATAATAGACAATAACGAGTTATTATATTCTGCAAGCAGAGTGTATGTTAGTAGAAATTGATATTTCTTAAGGAGAACATTGATAAGGAGAATGTCTACCAATAGTGATAGTATGAACAACAACACTTGTGTTGTATGTTACAAGAATGTCGATGTTTACAGCATTGGTATGTGTGAACATCCTGTGTGTTACGAATGTAGCACACGAATGAGAGTACTATGCTGTCAAAATGAGTGTCCCATATGTCGTCAAGATTTACCAAAAGTTGTATTCACAAGGGAAATAAAATCATTTCGTTATTTACGTAAAGGCATTTTAGTAAATACAAGATACCGTATTTATTTTGACACACCTGATATTCAAAATAAATTTTATGAGTTATTGGCCAATAGTTGCAATATATGTACAGAGAAGCCTGTGTTTAATCATTTTAACAGTTTAAAAGATCATATGAGACGTCATCATAAGCTACATTATTGTGATCTTTGTGTAGAAAATTTAAAGGTAAATTGAATTATTTTAATTGCATTTAATCATTAGTAAATCTAGTCATATATTGTGATATGTGTAAGGAGTATTTATCACTTATTTTTTTTATGACAGATATTTTCCCATGAGAGGCGTTGTTACACAAGGTCTGAACTTGCAATGCATAGAAGAAAAGGGGATATCGATGACAAAAGTCACAAAGGGCATCCATTATGTGAATTTTGTGATGAACGTTACATGGATAATGATGAGTTATTTAGACACTTAAGACGAGATCATTTATACTGTCACTTTTGCGATGCAGATGGTTTGCATCAGTATTACAGCTCCTATGACTACCTCAGAGAGCATTTCAGGCAAGAGCATTACTTGTGCGAGGAAGGAATGTGTTCTGAGGAAAAATTTACAAGCGTGTTTAGGACTGACATAGATCTTAAAGCACATAAGGCAAATGTTCATAGTAAACAGTTAAGTAAAGCTGCTGCAAAGCAGGCAAGGATACTAGAGCTGGAATTTATTCTAACACGAGGTGATAATCGAATGAACAGGAGGGGAATGTCAGGTGCATCGACTTCCAGAAGTTCAAGAGATTATGGTGGGAGAGATTATAATCTCAGGGAAAATCAACAGATAGTAATACCAAACAGTTCAAATGTTCTTGTATCAAACAACGAATCTACTTTCGTAAGGCAGCCTTCTGTAGATGTACAAAGCACTGAGGAATTCCCCACATTGGGCAACACTGCACCTATTGTACCTACTTTACATCAAACTAAAGGCAGAGGGAATTTAACGATTCGTAGTACCATACGACCACAGCCCTTGGCTGTTACAGATGAAAATTTTCCAGCATTGGGATTAGAATCGTCAGGCACGAGTATCTCTAAAACCGTTAACTTCAGTGTATGCAGTGGTAATGCCTCAGGATTGAGTGCTCAACCTCAAAAGAGTACAACTTCGAATGTATCTATTCAAGTGAATCACGAACCAAATGGGACTGTTACTACAAAAGTTTCAGGTCCCAATATTAGAATTCGTCCTGCACAGCTTTCGATGAAATCTGATTTTCCTGCATTAGGTTCTGCGGAACCGTCGACTAGTAATACTAAACAAACTCAATTAAGGGAAGCTTCACAATGGATTTCTACAGAGTCTAAGCAAGCTGCATTTCCACCATTGGCACCGTCCCCATTACGTATTCCACCTGGGGAAGATTTTTCAATGTTATCAAAGTCAGCCAAATCAAAGAAACAGTCGACAATTACAGTAGTACCTTCCTGGGGTCAGCCACAGAGTTCTAATAATAGTAACAATGTAAAAACAACTACTGACCTAACAAAAGGAAAGACAAAGAAGAAAAAAGTTAAACAAAATTCTATTACTAATGGCAATGATACTAGTAGTTCGAAAACAAATGCAAGTAATGTTGTAAAAAGAGAAAGTGAAACAGCTGAAGCATCTAAAAATTCATGTAGCATAGACACCAGGAATGCTGTACAGTCAAGCTCCCAGTCTATACAAAATACAGATAACATGAGTAACAGTGAAAATTCGTCAAAAAATATAAATGTACATCAGTCAAAAGAAACAGAACAAACTAATAAGAAGGAAAAGAAAAAACATAAAAACTCGGACAACCAAACGATTGTAAATACGAACACTGGTAAAAGTACTTCAAATGGAGTACAGAGAAAACGTACCGAACTAAAAATAGATAGTATAAATTCTACTGACAGAAACGTTCGTCAGTTAGAAGATTTTCCAGCTTTAGGTAGCAGCAGTACCAAACCACCTGGTTTTACAAATCCACCACCTGGATTTGGAATAACGACTCCTCCACCGCCTGGTTTTTGTATAAAATATAATAACATGGATAAATTGAACAGTAGTAATGGATTAACCTTTACAAACAGTTCTGGAGAGAGCTATTCTATTTTACCAAATGATAGTAAGCACAGTAGTGCGTACAATTATGTACCTCCTACGGACTTTCAAAAACGAAACAAATGCCTTGTGGCTAAAGTCAATGAAGTTTTAATGCAACAAGACCAAATCGAAGAGTTTCGATATATAAGTGGATTATTTCGCCAAGGAACATACAATGCGCAAGAGTATTACATGCATTGTCGTGAAGTTATGGGACTCAGCGCTTTTGAGAATGTATTTCCAGAACTTCTGGTTCTTCTACCTGATATTACAAAACAACAGGAACTGTTTAAAGTACACAAAAAAGAAACTGGTAACAAGATTCGAGGTTTAGAAATTTGTACAACCTGCAATCAAGTTTTGAAAATTGGTCCTGACTTTCAAATGCACATGAATGGTCATACATTAGAAAATCATTTTCCAGTGCTTGGCAAATCCAATACATAGTTTCAAAGAAATTCTTGGATACATAACTGAATGTAAATGTGTTCCTTTAGTTAACTCACAACCATTGTCAAGTTTCTATAAGATAAAAATGAAGGAACTATGCTGATCAAATTATTTTTGTGGATGGCATCAGTGTAATATAATCATTATTAACCTCAAGGTTACAGTATATGGTACATATTCCAACCGTCAGCTCCTAGTATTAAAAAGTTATATTGAACAAATTAATTGCCATATCACATTTGGTATTTGTTCGGTGACATGTCTGATTGCTGCCTCAAATAAATAAACTTTGTTATCAAATGGTTGTACTGATAATTTTTTGAAATACGCGTATAACGAAGGAAGTCAATAATTCTCTGTATAATAACAAACTTTGTGTAAACTAATTTAATACACGCGACGCATTACGACTAAGATGTTCATACAGAAAACTTATACTAAAATATTGTAATCAATACCTTGTTTCACCACACATTAAAACTACTCTGTATATATTATTCATAAGTAGAAAATACATTTCTGTAATTTATTCATTGTGTTCTATGGAATAGAAATAAAATAGAATTTTATAGTGCATAAAGATAATACCAGATATAAACAAATTATTTGATACATTATATAATTAGTTATGCAATAAGACTAAAACATCAAATTTTTCTTTTCCATTTTCCCAATTTATAATTAATTATCTTAAAACGAGGTAATAATGATAGCATATAGTAATAAATTTATGATGTATTTTATACATTTATTTTTGAACTCTTTACCTCTAATAATGTGATATTTTACAATATAAATGATTATGAAAACGAATTTAATATTTTTTATAGAATGTGATCATTAAAGATAAAAGTTCTTTAAATGTTTACTTAAAAACTTATTGTTAGTACTATTTATCCTATAATTTATTACTTATTCTAAAAACAGGATTTCAAAAACACTTTCAAATTATGTAATATACAGTGTTTCATTTTCAATTTACTGCACAGACACAGAATGTAAACAACAGGCAAAAGTATGAAAGTACACTTGTACGCTTTCTCATTCTCCGTAACAAACATTGTTAATAACATCCAAATCTAAATAATATGCATACTATTAAATTGAAAATAACGTATGTACCAAAATCAATGTAGAAATATTTCTTGTTTATTTCAAACTCAATACACTTTTGAGTAAACTTATAACAAGTCAGAATCATAAGCAGCATACAAACAAAATGTAACTGACAAAATTTACACGCTTATCTACTTAATAATTTCTTTTCTATCAAAGGAGAACTTTATTTTGAAAACAAAACTTCTGAAAGTTGTATGATCATTGAGTCAGTCAAGTCACTCTATTACTCAAAGTAGTTTCATCTTAGAAATTAGAATCACAGTGGTATTAAATCGTACACATAGTGCATAATCTGATAAAATGGAGAATGCATCCTGTCTTCTACATCCATGCTCAATGATTAAATTGTTCATGAAGATTATGAATAATGACAGTGCTTTATCACTTTTTAGCTAATTCATTACTCAACCAATCAAGCCCTTCATACAGTCCATGTCCTTGTGTAGCACAAGTGCTTTGAATGTACCAATGTCGACCACGTAACGAGTTGAGTCCCAATTTATCTGTGAGCTCTGCTGCAGACATAGCATTAGGTAAATCTTGCTTATTGGCAAATACCAAGAGAACTGCATCTCTTAATTCATCTTCTTTCAACATGTTTGCCAATTCACGCTCTGCTTCCCCTATACGCTCTCTATCGTTACTGTCAACAACATATATGAGACCTTGCGTATTTTGGAAATAATGTCTCCAGAGTGGTCTGATTTTATCCTGGCCACCAACGTCCCACACCGTGAAACATATATTCCTATATTCAACAGTTTCAACATTGAAACCAATGGTAGGTATAGTTGTGACAATTTCACCGAGTTTCAACTTATACAGTATGGTAGTTTTTCCAGCAGCATCCAGACCCACCATTAATATTCTCATTTGCTTTTTACCGAAGAGCCGGGTAAGTACGCTGCTGATTGTTAGGCCCATTTTGCTTGGGAAGGCACCAAACGTCCGACGCGTTCAAACTAATATCTGTCTGTTGATATATATGTCCTATTACGGCACTTGATACTGTGTCCTGTGGACGATACAATGTTTCGCATGGGAAACCAGTATTTTAAGAATTCAATGTGATTCAATGCTGTGACGACGTTTCCAATGATGCCGTTAACACACCTTACAGACAATAATAGCAAACGTCATCTCACGGCAGATTATTATTCCGGAAATAGTTGGCAAAATTGGCCACGCACGCCAACTCTTATTTATATAAAAGCACTAAGTAAAATATTGTGTTTAAATTTTGTTTAGTCGCTTTCGTTGGAACTGTGAGAATTTTTATGCGTGAATGACAATGGATCAAACATTTATTAAAATTATTTTGTCATACAGACTCACCAGACATTTTCTACAGAAAAGTGCGCAAAGTAAACTCATAATACGCGCGTAATTTAAATTTTTTATTTTGGGACCACGTACAAATAAAGATTGTATAAAAACTGTTACCGATAAGTTATAGATTGTAGTTTACAATTGTAGTCACTGAAAAACTATTAAACACTTTAGAAAAATCTTATAAATTCTTATGTTACAATCATTGTAAATTATTGTCTAAAATCGTATAAAACTTAACTCTAACATTTTAGATGTTAGGTAGAAGTTGTTTACGAAAAATTACTTGAGTGTATATGAAAATTACATAAAATAGAATCGAAAATATATATCGTATGAATTTAAAACTTTAAAAATAATTTTTCATATTTAACGTTCTCTATTACTATTTGCATGTTTTATGATACAAATTGTTGTTAATTATAACCAATAGTAATCGAAATATAGAGTAAAATGTAAGATGTAGATATTGCAATGACGTTTTTGCAAATTAATAATTTGCATTCTATCACAAATTATTCAATGACAACCACGTCTTATTATTTTCGCAAAATATGATATATTAATTATTTTATTTAAATGATTTTAACTATGTTTTATGTGTAAATCCACATCTTACATCTTTAACAACATATCTTCAAAATGTGATTGTTGTAAATATTATATTGCCGAAAATTTAATGTATTGTTATTTAATTTCATACAAATTGAGGTAAGAGAAAAATTCTATTCTATAAACTGGGTTAAATTTCCGAAAACTGATCAATTAACATGCGCTAATTACCCGTTGTCTCATGGTTGTATCGGGTATATAGATTCTTCAAGAAGTTTGTTAAGTGGTACATTCATCTTTTAAACTGGATTACTGCACATGTATATTCCCGCCAAGTCGTATTAGTCGGGGATCTACTGCTCTGACTAATCAACTATTCGCGATTCCCAGAAGATAGCCGAATGAATCGCTCGGGACTGCTCGGGACTGGCCGAATGTAACTGAAGTGTCATTCGTTTCGAAGAAGTTGTTTGCTCGTGCCAAAGTGAGTGTTTGACAATTACTTTTCATCTTTATTCATGTATATTAATTAGTAGTACCCTCATTAGCTCTCTATCGTTACTGTCTTTTAATATTTATCCTATTTAGACTAAATAATCTCAAATTAATACAATACCTAGGTATCGATTTAGTCTTCTGTTTCACTGTGTACCAATTAATGTAATATTTATGTATTTTTAATCCAATTTGTAATCTTTGCGACACACCACGAGTTCAATAATTGTTAATTGGTAACGTAACTATTCCTAATGTAGTGTAATTACTTAAAGTTTATGTTTATTTTCTGTTTCAGAGTTTCGGTTTGAAAGTACGCACTACCATTCTGAGCATCGTTGACTGCCTTCAAATGGAATTCGGCGGGAAATTGGTAAACTCCGGTAAGTTATAATATTTATTATAATAACAAACTGACACTTCATTACTTATTTTTATATTGTTTTTAACCGTAAGTGAAATAATCGTGATTTCGTGGTTTGTGTTAAGATCAAATGAGAATTTTTTCGAGCACTTATTTCAATTCATATATTTAGTTGAAGCATTCAAAATGGCTTCCTTGAATGTTACAAAATTTAAACTACAATACTTCGAGATATCCAAATTGGAAATGTTTGTAATTTACGTATCTCGGTCGTGAAATTGTATTAAAATAGATTATAGATAATTTCTCCTGTCTTTCCATATGAAATTATTGTATTTGCATTTATATATAGTTTTTGGTGTAAATTTGATTAATACAAGCTGCATACTTTATCATGTTTTTTATCAAAAGCATGCATAAATAATGCAACTTTGGTACTTATAATGATTTTTTGAATATGTAGGAAAGCAGGACATCGATTAAATAAAAAAAACAAACGTGATTGCAGTATAGTTATGTATTATGCTACAATGTAATTCATAAATATTATAAACTGAATAATTGTCGTTTTATATTTATCAGTAATAATAATATTCAGTGTAATAAATTTGTCATGTTTTTTTTTCCGTTTCTTTAAATGTTGCATCAGTGAACACTAAATTGGATGTCCTAATACGAAGTTCCACCAGCAAAGACTGTATCCACTCCTATCATCGGGTGAGTCTTTGCATGCCTTTTTTATTATTACAGTCCCCAATCATGCCATAGGACGATCAGTCCAAAGGGGCACAGACAACTGGTTGTATATATCCTAAATTTGGCAAGTACAGTGAATGTGGGTATGCTATCATACCTTCGAATAGTAACATTGATCAATTGTATTTCTTAGCTAGGGTAGTCTTCTTATAAATAGCATTTTCTATTACTCATACAATTAATAAACATTTTATAATTGGACAAAGCAGTATTAATGCTCTTAATATTCAATGCCTATTCTGGAGTCCATTGTGTATATGAACCTTTATAGGCAATATATTGACTACATATATCATGAATGAAACATTAGTGGAGGAATGTGACAACCTCCGAGTTCCTCCTTGCACAATAAATGAATGTAATCGCACAATGATAATAAAAAATGGTATCCAATGAGAATATCATTGAATAGCTTGATCTAATTTCATATTTTATAATTTTCTTAATGACTGCATTCTATTACATTCTCTAAAACATTCAAAGTACTAGACATTTTTACACTTTGAATCTCATATCGATTTCTAAAATAACCCTAGTTCGATGTAATATAGAACGTGGTTTTATGAGATAGATTCGAAGTTCGCAGCCATTAGCTCGATATTGTCTTCGGTTTACAGTACTTTACCGATGATAATACCGATTGCCCAGGCCTCACCACGAGGAGGTTGCTGCGAGTGGAGGCCCAAGGCAGATAGATGGAATCACAAGTTCTACATCTACCCACCTTTCACAATCAACCTTATAAATAACTTAAATCTTAACTATCGGTACTAAAATCCCTCGGCGGATGACTTCTTTCTTGAGCCTAAACCTATAAAAAACTAAGTTCCCTCGTCGGTTGTCTTCGTTCTTCAGCTTAGAACTAATATTATCTTAATATTCTAATTAATACGAATTAATGCGATTGATACGAAATAACAAATTTAACGCAATGTAGT